ATTAGCAGAAATATTAGAATTGCCAGGAAAATCTGCACCAGTCTGTTATCAATGGACCAATAATATTACTCATCAAGATCTACAGTCAAGAAAAGTCTCCTTGGAAATATCAGCAACATCTTCTGGAGCTAGAACCTTTGAACTACAGGGTGTTCGAACAATTAAGGACATGATGTTGCCCAAACAAACTTTGGAGGTGGAGAAAATTAAGAGAATGTTTCCCCAAGTAGAACAACTCGACATGGTTGAATCATATCACGAGATACGACCCATGCTTCTGATTGGTCAAGATTATGGTCAGTTAGCAGTTTCGAAAAGATCGGTAGAGCTCTCGATGAATGGTCCAATATTGTCCAAAACGGCCTTAGGATGGGTAATCCATGGCAAATTAGTTCACCAAATCCCAAATAACAATAAACACTTTGTGTACCACCTATGCAATGTGGACGAACATGAAATGGACCTGCATGAATTGGTAAAATCATCTTTTTCTACTGAATCATTTGGTGTAAAAATTGTTGAGAATGTTTGCAAGAAAGAAGAAGAAATCAGGTGTGAGAAAATAATGAGTCAAACGCTAAAAAGACTCGGAAATCGTTTTGAAATAGGATTATTGTGGAAGCATGATAAAGTAGAGTTTCCAGATAGTAAGAATAATGCATTACGACGGTTATTCTGCATGGAAAAGAAAATGGACCGGAACAAAGAATTTGCAGAACAGTATTGTCTGAAAATAGAAGATTATGTTGAAAAAGGATACGCCAAAAAGCTTTCATCTGAAGAAATACAGTCCAACAGCAAGAAAATTTGGTATTTGCCGCATTTCGGAGTAATTAATGTGAATAAACCAGGAAAATTGAGATTGGTGTTCGACGCTGCAGAGAAAACAGAAGGAGTTAGTATGAATACAGAGTTACTACAAGGTCCAGACTTATTGACATCATTGGTTGGAGTTTTGTTGAAATTTAGAAGATACCGAATAGCATATACAGGGGATATAAAAGAAATGTTTCACCAAGTTAGAATCAGAGCTGAAGACAGACCGGCACAAAGATTTTTCTGGAGAGGAATGAGGAGGAATGGGAATCCGGACGTGTATGAAATGCAGGCGATGATTTTCGGAGCTACCTGTTCACCATGTATTGCCCAATATGTTAAACACTATGTAGATGATTATCTTGATAGTAAAGTGAACGAAGCTGAAGCAATTCAATGTATCAAAGACGTCATTCAAGTTCATAAATATGGAGGCTTTGAAATATGTGGTTTTATAAGTAATTCTGAAGAAGTATTACAGAACAAAAGAACAAAAATTTAGATGAACACAATTCCGTAGCAGTCGAGAGAGTCTTAGGTCTGCAATGGGTGCCTAAAGACGATGTTTTTATATTTCCTCTGAAATTACAGAAAATCAATCCAAAAATTCTTGATGGAAGCAAGTATCCGACCAAAAGAGAAGTCCTCAAGATGATCTCATCAGTATTTGACCCTCTGGGGATGTTGTGCAATGTTTTGATAACTGGGAAAATACTTCTGCAAGAGATATGGAGAACGGGAATAGGATGGGACGACGAAATTTCAGCAGAAATGAATGAACTTTGGAACAATTGGCTGAATAATATCAGAAGAGAAATTCCACTCATGACAATTCCCCGTTGTTATGGAGCTAGATTAGCAGAATCATCAAATATAGAACTGCACGGATTCTGTGATGCCAGCGAAAAAGCGTTTTCAGCAGTAATATACTTGCGATTTGTAATGAACAATGAATTTGAAGTATCTTTCGTGATGGCAAAATCCAGAGTAGCACCCCTGAAAAGTATGACAATACCAAGGCTTGAACTTCAGGCTGCTGTGATGGTTAGTCGCCTAATGAATACTGTTGTTTCTGAGATAGATCTGGAAATATCCAAGAAGTACTATTGGACTGACAGTAAAACTGTTCTACATTGTATTGCTTTATATAAATATATATCCATTTTTGTATGTTCATAATTTATCTGAGAATATTCCTTTTCAACATGTTACATATAAGATGTTCATAGCTCAAAGGGTAGGAGAAGTTTTGGATCTCACAAAAAAGGAAGAATGGCACTGGATATGCACGAAAGAAAACATTGCAGATGATGCGACCAGATCCCTGAAAGGGAATAATTTATGTTCTAGAAGATGGTTCTCCGGTCCTGAATTTTTGAAAACGAAATTTGATGAAAAATTGGATGAAAATATGGATATAAATGACGTAGATGAAATTAATCTAGAAATTAAAAGAACTGTGTTGACTATCTCTCTCGATAGACACAATCACGGATTACCCGATGTCAATCGATTTTCAAAATATGAAAAACTAGTTAGAACTACTGCGTGGATTCTGAGATTTCTCGGAAATTGCAAGCGAAATCGAACTAAGAAACAAGGATATTTAACAGTGGAAGAGATAGAAAAGGCGGAGATGTTATGGTATAAACAAGTTCAGTCGGATTCCTATGATTTGGAATTGAGAGACCTGGAAAAAAGTGGAAAAATTGAAAAAAATAGTAAGATTTATAACTTATCTCCATTTATAGATGAACATGGTTTGATATGTATGAAAGGAAGAATAAGGGCGGATATGGATGGATTGATCTGCAGGAAAAATCCGATAATTTTGAATTCCAGTCATAACTTCACCAAGCTGCTGATAGAACATTTCCATCAAAGAGCCAACGACCAAGAATATGAGTACGTTACAAATGAGATCCGTCAATCATTCTGGATACCTGGTCTTAGAAATGCAGTGAAGAAGGTATGGATGACTTGCCAGTTCTGTAAAAATAGAAGAGCCAAACCGTCTACTCCAGAAATGGGCATGCTACCTGAAGCAAGGTTGGGAGCTTTCCAAAAGCCATTCTCTAAAACAGGTGTGGATTATTTTGGCCCCCTTTTAGTAACAATAGGAAGAAGACATGAAAAACGGTATGGTGTAATATTTACCTGCATGACCATCAGAGCGGTGCACTTGGAATTGGTATCATCACTGACTACGGATTCTTTCATCATGGCATTGAGACGTTTCATAGCTAGAAGAGGTCCGGTGAAAGATTTGTATTCAGATAATGGTACCAATTTTCACGGAGCAGAAAAAGAGTTATCTGAATATTTGAAAAATTTAGATCAGAATAGCATATCAGATGAATTGACGAAGAATAGAATACAATGGCATTTCAACCCGCCAGGAGCGCCTCATATGGGGGGAAGTTGGGCTGATTAGATCAATAAAAACTACGATGAAGGTTATATTGAAAGAAAAGGTTCCAAAAGAAGAAACTCTGCAGACGGCCCTAGTTGAAATTGAACACAGCATGAATTCAAGACCACTTACATATGTTCCTGTTGACCCAGAAGCTCCAGAAAGTTTAACGCCAAACCATTTTCTGATTGGCATTTCCTGTGGTACTTTACCAGGTGACGAGGTTGAGAGAAAAGATTTACGAAAGCAGTGGAAATCAGTGCAGGCAATAATAAACGACTATTGGAAAACATGGCTGAAAGTCTACTTACCTGAATTGAATAGGAGAAAAAAATGGTTTGAAAAGACAGATCCACTAAAAAAAGACGATATTGTTATGGTCGCCGACAACACTTTCCCAAAAAATACATGGCCGATGGGTAAAATCGTAAGAGTTTTTCCTGGGAAAGACGGAGTGGTACGAGTCGTAGAAGTAAAAACATCCACTGGAACATACAAAAGACCTGTGACAAAAATTTGTAAGATGGATGTAAGGAAAGTTCAACGAGAATCCCCAGGCGAAACGAGAGAACAGTGAAGAAGCTTCACCAGGGGGAAGAAATGTTGAAGATATATTTGTTATTGATTGTTCAATTTAGAAATAACTCCTTGACTATTATTGTAGTTGTTATGATGATGTGACAAAAGATAATATAAAAAGAAAACATGTCAATAAAAAGTCAGAAAAACTGAGAATAATATTTTATTACAAACAGTGATACTTATAGTCACTTTCTGAAATACAAGTGACTATTCTGAAATACAATTAATGACGATATCTGAATAACGAGTGACTATTCTGAAATACAATGGAAGCTTTCTGATACAGACTATTCTGAAAAAGAAAAAACGCTGTCTGAAATACAAGTGACTTTTCTCAAATACAATTGACGCATTATGAAATACAAGTGACTATTCTGAAATACAATTGAGGCATTATGAAATACCAATGACTATTCTGGAATACAATTGACGATTTCTGAAATACAAGTGACTATTCTGAAATACAATTGACGATTTCTGAAATACAAGTGACTATTTGGAAATCCAATTAACGCTATCTGAAATACAAATGACTATTCTGAAATACAATTGACACTTTCTGAAACACAAGTGACTATTCTGAAATACAACTATTGGCGATTTCTGATAAACAAGTGACTATACTGAAATTCGATTGACGCTTTCAGAAAATGAATAGACCATTCTGAAATAGAATTAACGCTTTCCGAAATACAAGTGACTATTCTGAAATACAATAGACGCATTAAGAAATACAAGTGACTCTTCTGAAATACAATTGACGATTTCTGAAATATAAATGACTTTTCTGAAATTCAATTGACGTTTTCTGAAATACAAGTGACCTCAGAAATACAAGTGACTATTCTAAAATTAATTGACGATTTTTGAAATTGAGTTGACTATTCTGAAATACAATTATTGACGATTTCTAAAAAACAAGTGAAATAAAATTGACGCTTTCTGAAATACAAGTTTATTTAAAGTGACTATTCTGATATACAACTGACGATTTCTGAAATACCATATAGACCATTCTGAAATACATATGGAGATTTCTGAAATACAAGTGACTATTCTGAAATGCGACTGACGTTTTCTGTAATACGAGTGACTTCTGAAATAAAATTGATGATTTCTGAAATACAAGTGACCATTCTGAAATACAAATGACGATTTGTGAAATACAACTGGAAAAGGAGTAGCTCACCTGATCTTCTGCCTGATCTCCTCGTGTCCCTCGTCCATCGCGACGCGCCCCAACCCGTCGCTCAGCGACTCGGTGATCTTGGCGGCCGAGTTCGACATGCCGTGCGTGACGTTCTTCACCAGCGCGCCGACGTTGCCCTCGTAGATGAAGCCGGAAAGGCCTTCGGACACGTCGTTCATCAGGCCGATCGGGTTGCCGATGAAGTCCACCGAGCCGAGGATGATGCCGGCCTGCCATTTCAGTTCCTGCGATAGAAACATTTGATGTGTAGGCCCGTATTTATAGTTTCTCCTCGTCCCTCAAGGCATTCTTATGGACCAGTTTCTATTTTATACTCCGAAAATGAGCTCGAAGGAAGCCTGAAGTAAATGCATTCCTTGAACCATCTCTTAGTATTATTTAAGGTTAAGATATGAATGTATATGGATATAAATCAGACGAGTTTGCATAGTGTGTATTTGATCTGAACGGATTTCTGGATATCATTGGAAGGGTAAAAGGGAATGTAGTAATCAAAGGATTTTTCAAGGCTTGATACTGCAGAGAAACTGATTTTAGGAGAGAATGTCGATGTCCAGTGGAATATCTATTCTAAATGGTAACTAAGCATATTTACAATTATACAGGTTGTCCCATAATTAGCGTACAATACTTCAACAGCAGATTTTACAATCAAAAATAAAAAAAAAGGGTTCCTATAAACATAGGTCGAACAATGTCTCATAAGAGAGATAAAACACCTTGAATGTGGTACCCTGAAGATGGTTTTTATTCTATATCTTCGAAACTGTTGATATGAAAATTTGCAAGTTTGACAATCTTTTCATGTCTAATACTTGAACTGTGGTGGGTGGGGGTAAGATCACCCCAACTTTTTCAAGTGCGGTTTTTTTGCAACTTCAGCATGAAATTATGCCACTTCGAAGCCTTTTGCATAAAGAAGTTCCTTTTGTTTAACTTCGATAGGAAGCACCGTTCTCGAGTAAAGTGTGAGGCTTCCTTTTAGAAGGCTTACTCAAGGAGGGTATGTAAAATAAATTTCCCGTCAAGTGCTGAGAAGTCCTCAAGAAATCCTTAGATGAGGAAGACTTGAAGAGATCTTGAGGAAACGATTATAAATATGAGCCGTAACCCTGTAAAGGATATTTTTCTCTGGGTTGGTTTACTTATGGGGTTATAACCAATTTGGAACGCTAACCGTTAGTGAGCAAGAAACACCCCGATTGCAACAAATTCACCACCCCTTTAATATCACCGATTATCCATATTCAGAGTCGTTCTTATTTTTAAAACTGAAAATCAACAATTAATAAATTAGGTGAAATATTATCATTGAGAAACTGAGAGAAAAGATAAGATTAAATTATTCCCCAAACATTTATTAAATAGTTGATACGACTCAGTATATGAGAGTAGAGAATCATGTTTGCAATTTTGATGTCAAGTTTGCAATAATTGGAGATATTTTCTTTGTCAATACATCAATATGTTTGTCCCACTTCAACCTGTCATCAAACCAAATACCAAGATATTTTATCTGGTCAGTTTGTTTTAAGAGTTCATTATTCATTTTAAGATTGAGGTGAATTTTTTGTTTGATTTTTTCGTGAGAAATCATATATTTTATTCTGTTTAATTAGTATTTATAGATAAAAGGTTAGAGTGGAGCCATTTTTCAAATATTTCCAAGTCTTCATTTATCATATTTTTTAAATTTGAAGGATTCTTGATTTCATATGAGAGTACTGTATCATCTGCATACATGGTATTTTTACTCACTAAACCAATTTCACCGATATTTTGAACATAAAGTGAATATAGTATAGGCACTAAAACAGAGCCTTATGGAACATCCTCATTAAATTATAGTTTATTTGGCACAAATGAAGTTGGTTGATTTCTTATTGATTGTCCTATTTTCAAGATATGATTTCAAAACATTTCTCACAGTGCCTCCAAGTCCCATTGATTCCAAGTTTTCTAAAAGTTTTGTATGATCAACCCTGTCAAAAGCCCTTTCGAGATCAATGAAAACAGCTACCACATAATTTCCTGAATCAAGTTCTTTCTGGATTGATTCTATCACTTGTAATACTGCTGTGCTGCTTGTGTTCCACTGTTTTCTTGAAAACCAAAATTAGAATCAAAGCTATATTTTTTTGTTGATGAACTCTACAATGCGTTTCTTGAGAATTATTTCAAACATTTTAGAAAATATGCTCATTAAAGCTTGACCTTGGCGACCGCGAATAGCCCACAAATTCGTATCATGATGAAAACCACGTGCCTTCTATGGTCGAAATCTGTTTCATAATGAAAATCCGTGTTGAAATGAACACTGTTGAGAAATCGGAAGCAGATATTTTATTCGCTTATTATATAATGCAGAAGTAGAAAAAATACATTTTCACACCTGAAATTCGACCAGGCCACAAATACGATGAGTTTTCGTGATTTCAACCACCCAAAAGTTCGAATTTATTTGAAATAAGAGCTTCCGGGAAGATGTGATTTTGCTCATGCTGGATAATGACAGCTGTCTGCCACCGTATTGTGAAAATGCTACTTGCTGGACGATGAAAAATAATTCATTTGACTGAATATGTCCAATGAATCTGTGATATTGATTGATTGTCTTTATTACCCCAAGAAACATAGTTGTTTATAATAGGGATACATAAACAATATACATAATGTTATACATACAATTATGAAATTATAATAAGATATAACAAGTAAAAAAAAAATGCAAATAATCATGCAATATCCTAGTCTTAGGTATTCAAATAAGAAATGGAATTATCAAAGTCTTTGAAGCAGATATTGTGTGATTGTTCATTGAAAATATAAGGCCGATCGGGTAGCCGATGAAGACCACCAAGCCTAGGATGATGCCGGCCTACCATTTCAGTTCCTGCTATAGGAATGAGACTTTCTATTTAGAAAGAACAAAGAATTTTGCGCAGAATCCAGTAGCGTACTCAAAACTTTTTTATGGGGTTTGGTTTTGGAGATACGACACAAACCTATATATCTAGTACTTACATCTTTGAAATGTTTTATAATGGACTTGAATAGGAACTGGCTGGTTTCGAACGGGTGTCTCCGTTCGAAGGCTTCCAAATCGATGGCGGCGTCTTCGAACTTGATCAGAGTCAGCCCCAGCTTCCTTTTGATCCTTTGCAAATGATCTGGTAGTTTGCTGGCGGTTCTCACACTCAACCTTATCTGATCTGGCGTCAGTTTAATAACGCCAAAATAATACCTGGAAATCAAGTTATTCAAGTTTTTTTTGTTTATTGTCATTTTGAGAGATATGTATATTAAAAATCATCAAAAGTTGCATGGAATTCTTTTATGATAAGGAATCTTCCGGTCTTTGAAAAACAAGTAGATAGGTTTCTTTGAAGATATCGCAAAAATATTACTTATGAGTAGATTTTTTGAGGATGTATTTTTTGAAATGGTTAATAATATGAACTTTAGGCAACAATTGTGGTTTCATGTTGAAATCGAGGTATAATATTATCTGTTCACTGACCTAATATATGTATGCCTGTCAATGGCGCTGGTTTACTGAAATACTGTTATTAGCTCATTTATTTCATTGAATATTTGTCTATAGACAATTACAGGTTGGAGTTTCCATCTTCTACTTCTTTATAATTGTACTTAACCAGAGATAGATATTTTTTCTGACAACGTGTTTCTTGCTAGAGCTACTTCAATTGACTTTTGGAAAGCTATACCTGTATTTGAAATAATTGTTTTCACCACTAGCTATAGAACCTACCATTATTCACTCCTTTTCAAGGCGTGAACTGTGTTTTTACTACCAAGGTAGTTTTCGTCATTTTATGAACTACTAGTCAATAAAGACATAGCCACCTGTTATAATTAACCAGAATTCACTGTTCTGATGCGACATTCGCAGGAATGGCACTCGAATCTAGTAGGTATTAATCAATAATGACTTGTCATATTATGCTGTCATAGTGACTAGATTTTAATTAGAATTGAAAAGAAGTGCTTGTCATATGGTGTCATGATCATGGCTACCAGATTTCGATTAGAATTGAAATATATTGCAAGTGGTGAAAAAAATTAATATACACCTTGATACTAAAGAATATTATTACTCTACGTGACTTTTGGTCCCTTTTCGTATAAAAATAACAATTTTCCACCACTAGCTATAGAATCTACCATTATTTACTCCTTATAAAGGCGTAAAGTGTGTTTTTACTACCAAGGTAGTTTTCGTTATTTTATAAACCACTAGTCAATAAAGACATAGCCATCTCTGTTATAATTAACCAGATTTCACTGTTCTGATGCGATATTCACAGGAATGGCATTCGAATCTAGTAGGTATTTATCAATAAAGACTTGTCATATACTGTCATGGTGACTAGATTTTAATTAGAATTGAAAAGAAGTGCTTTCATAGTGACATAGGTGCACATTTCAGTTTCACAGAACTATAAAGAATGAAATATATTGCTAGTGGTGAAAAAAATCTAATATACTCCTTGGTGTTTAGTGAAGAATATTATTACCACGGAACCTTATACCCCTCGGCTGAAGCCTGGGGATATAATCTTGGTCCCTGGGTAATGATGATATTCTTTACTACCTTGGTGAATAAATAACTATTCTGTATGCAGCAGAATATCTATGACCAAGAACCAAATTTAGTTCACTTTCCTGCTATTACATATATCCTCATTTCAGATTTGTTCCATTTTATTTCAATAGTTTTAATTATCCTTCTGGCATATTTTTCCTCATTGTTACATTCATATGATATTTCCTACTACGATTCCTCCCATTATTGAATTACTTATGTGTGAAACAACATCGATTTGTTCCTACTCATCACTAATAATTTTTCGTTTCTCAGTTGACACACTACCCATATGTAGGTGTAACTTTTAGAGATATGGCAAAGTTATTATCAATATAATAATAATAATAATAATAAATGCTTTTATTGAAAGGTTACATACAAGTACAGAAAACCTAACAAGAGGCAGGATTCAATATCTGCGCATGAAAAATTCATAGCAGAGCTTGCTCTTCCATCCAACCTTGAAAATATATTCATGTTTAAACCTAACTTTGAACATACATGATGTTTAATGGAAATAAAAAAAATAGAAAAAAATAATGCTCCAATTAATAAATTAATGATATCTACTATAAGTAAGTATAATATAGAGGTTGCAGGAAATTCACATTTTACTAATCTTGAGATAAGCGTGTGCCAATTCAAGTTCGCTTTGTGTCAAATTCCAAAATACGTGCAGTTGTTTTCGATTAAATATTGTTTTAGTTTCTTCTTGAACGTTTTGAGTGGTAGGGATTTGAATTCAATCGGTAACCGGTTATATAAGCGAACGATCTGATATGAGTAGGAGCCACGGAAAAAAGAAGTTCTGTATTTAGGCGCTGTCAGATTATTCCTAAATCTTAAGTTGAGATTGTGTACATCGGTTCTGAAAGATAACTTCCTGAATAGGTAAGGGGGTTTTCCAGTAGTAATGATCTTGTGAAAAATCGCAGCGGAATGGAGTATGCACCTAGCCTCCATAGTGAGCCAACCAAGATTCTTTAAATGCTGTGACACATGTTCCCGTCTTCTAGTGCCTGTGATAAGTCGGATGCATGAATTTTGAAGTTTTTGTAGCCGCTTTTTGTCTGATTTCAGTAGTCCCGGACCATATACTACATCTGCGTAGTTAGCATGTGATAGCACTAATGCATCACATAGCATGACTTTACTTTTCTTGTTTAGTATATTTCTACTTGAATAAACCATCTTAAGATTCATATACCCTCGCTTCAAGACATGAGAAATGTGTGTCCTGAATCTGAGTGCACTGTCAAGGTATAATCCTAAATTTTTTGTTACCTCTGTAGTGGGTAATTGTACCCCATCAACGGCTACATTAACTAAGTTCTTGCAACGATTTCTCGAGGTTTTTCTCCCAAATAACATGACATAAGATTTTGAAGCATTAACAGTTAGACAGTATTTATTAGAAATCGTTATTAGGGAGTTCAAATCCTGATTGATTTGTTCGAGTGCACGATTGAGAGAGTGTTCTTCGAATTCTAAGTATAATTGGGTGTCGTCTGCGTAACAATGCATGGATGAGTAGCGTAGGGACTTTGAAAATTGGGAGGTATAAATGACGAATAGAAGGGGACCCAATATTGATCCCTGAGGAACACCATTTTTTACTATTAATGAGTTAGACTTTTTATCATTATGTATGACACTATGAGATCGGTTGTGAAGATAACTCTGAAGGAGTGATACAGCATCCGATGTAAACCCTAGGTAGCTTAGAATCGCTATAAGTAGCTTGTGATTTATTCGGTCGAATGCTTTCGAGTAGTCAAGCAGTACTAGAAGACAGAGTTTGTTATTATCAACAGAAATATGCAAATCATCTACAACTTTCAATAGGGCCGTTGTACAACTATGGTCAGCTCTAAATCCTGATTGACAGGATGGCAATATATCGAAGTCATTTAAGTAATTCCGCATTTGCAAATTCAATATTTTTTCGAAAGCCTTCGAAATGGCACACAAAATACTAATTGGACGAAGGTCACTCAAATTCTCTGGGTTGGTGATCTTAGCCAGTGGTAGGACATGAGATTGTTTCCAACTCGTTGGATAAACATTTTTTTGTATACAATAATTGAAAAGATGTGATATGTGCGTTAGGATGAAGGGGCAACAATGTAATAACATTTGTATACTTATCTTGTCAGGTCCCACAGCATTCGATTTGATGTCAAGTAATGTAATGTAAATTTGAGCATCATTCGTTTCATGATATGAAAACTTGTTATCGTTCAGTGTACTACCAGAAAAAAAATCGATGATTTCATTGTCAGGTACGAAGTTATTATTTGACATGCTTCCAAAAAAGTTATTGATATCTTCTACATGCATAAGGTGTTCCGGAATTGATTTCTTTGTTTTTTTGTTATTATATACGTTCAGATCAGCTAGTTCTTTCCATACTTGTTTGCTTCTTGTTAAACGAAAATTGAGGTATGCTTTTTTTTCGAGATTCACCGTTCGGTTCGTAAGATTTCTAATTTCTTTATAATAATCCCAGTGATGCTGGCTCTTAGTTCTTCTAAATCTTGAGAGAGCCTTGTCTCTCAGTTTGAACATAAGTTTCATGTTATCTGTTATCCACGGTGCTTTTTTTTTCGTAATTCTGACGGTTTTTATAGGCGCATGTTTCTCAAAGATTCCAAGTAGCAAATTAGTAAATACGGCAACTTTCTCATCAATATTGTTGGAGTCATACATTTCAAGAAAATCCATTGCATGCAAATCCACATTAAATGAGTCCGAGCTGAATTTTCTGAAGTCACGGAATGTGTACATAAAATTATCACCTGTTGTTTCTGTGAGACCAGCTTTACACGACACAAGGCAGTGATCGGAGAAGGAACTACAATCGACCGTAGTACAGTCTGTTACAGTCAATATCTCCGAACAGATTATAAGATCTATTATTTTACTACTGGTCGGGGAATATCGTGTTGGTTGATTTACAATTTGTGTCAGACCGAATGAATCAATGATTGAATTAAATTGTACACAAGAGCTATCTGTAGGTTCTGAATAGTCGATGTTGAGATCGCCTGCACAAATTATATAATCAAATTTTGGACAGACCATGGCTAAACTATCTTCAAATATTGACAAACATGTTGGGAGTGGAAGATTAGGAGGTCTATAAACGGAGGCCACTGCATACTTCATTCCTTGTATAGTAAAGCAAATCCACACTTGTTCAACTATATCAGAAGAGATATTGGGAATGCGAGTGGCTTTATAATTATTTCTAATATAAGTTGCCACACCTCCCCCCCTTCCATGTTTCCTATCTTTTCGAAATAGTTGATACCCTTCGAGACTAATGATGTCGTTTGGGGTATTTTCAGAAAGCCATGTTTCAGAAACGGTAATGACATCAAAGTTATTGTGTACCTTCTGTTTGAAATCCGGGAATCCATTTTGCATAGATCTCGTATTTATGTGACATATTTTTAAATCTGGCATTGTATATTCTGTACTATCACTAGCGCACGAACTTGAGAGGGCACAATGGAAAAAGTTATATTGTTCAACTGAAGTGAAACAGACAAGAAGTATCAGAGAACAATGTATATAAAAAGAACGAGAAAAAAAAACTAAAAATAATAATATAAAAATAATAGTATGGTTGAGCCTGATTAGTTTCCTTTGGCAGCCCTACGAGATTTCTCTCTGGATGGTTTCTTAGTGGCTATGTTCTCTAGAGGGGAGGAATTTTTTCTTTTGGAGTTGGCGTCTTCAGCGTTGCTTGATGTGGGTTGATCTTTGATGATGGAGGGGTCTAGCTGTAGGTCTTCCAAACTGAATTTTTTATCATTCAGGATTAAATGACTACGTTTTATAGTTGCTTTGATGCCGTCTTGTTTCGCTTGATTCAGATACTGGCGCAGAGCTTTGTTGACGGCTTGGTCCTCAGGACTCAGATCGTCCATTACATAAACATTCTCACCTTTCACCTTATAAAGGTAAATAAGCAGTTCTTACTGAGAAAAACATCCCAAGAAACAGACATGGGAAACAATACATTAAGGAACCAAGTCATACGTATAGGCGATGATGTAATTCCATTTAAGAACAGCACAAAAAATCTAGGGTTAATATTCGATTATAAACTTCGATTCAAAGAACATGTCAAGCATATGCTGAAGAAATGCTATTCTAATTTGAAAATGATTTACCCTCTTAGGCACTCTCTCGAACAAGATATCAAAAAAATGCTTTGTGAGTCACTGGTGTTATCCCAGCTCAATTACTGCGATACTGTCTACGGACCTTGCTTAGATGTTGTTGATATAAAACGCATTCAAAAAGTTCAGAATTCCTGCTTAAGACTCATTTTTGGTATCAGCAGACGAAATAGGATTTCTCATAAATTAAAAGTTGTTAATTGGCTGAACATGCTTAACAGACGTAAATTGCACATGGTTTGCAGCTACTACAAAGTGCTAAAAACAAAAAAGCCGGAATACCTGTATAATAAAATCTCTTTCAGAAGTGATATTCATAACTTGAATATTCGGCACTCTAGTCTTATTACTGTGCCTAGACATTATAGGAAAGAAATTTATAAAAGAAGTTTCTCTTACAACATCGCCAATCTTATTAATGCTCATCGTGTCACAGATTTCAGTCGTTCGCTTAAATCATTTAAAAGTATGGTAACGAAACAATTGCTTCAACTCCAGAATTTCTGATTCATTTTTGGTAACAATATATGAGATTGAATCGTTTCTATTTATTTTTAGTGATCCTCCTGCTGTGCATACTTGTCTCTTTCCTTCTTTTCCCTCTTCTTTTCCTCTCTCACTCTGCTTCTTAACTCATCATATACTATACTAATGCTCTTAGGTTCTTTAGCCGTTAGATTTATAGTTTCTTGTTAGGATTAGGTCTGGCCAGAATGGAAGAACAGTTTCAATCTACTTGGTAGAATGTAACTGAACTCTGGCCATTTATTCGCCACATTAACACTCGGTTAGGCGCACCCCTAAAAGGAACATGGATAGTCGCTATGGATCTGAGAATCCGAATGTGGAAACAATGATAATTTTGAAAAATATCAAGGCCTATCTTATTCATTTGGTGGATTAAGATCAATAAACTTCATTTTTAATACAGGTGTTTATTGAAAAAAATAGAAACAAACAAAAAATTATAAAAAATTAATTCTAGCATTTTCAAAGTTAGAAGGTAATTAGAACTGAGGAAAAAATTAGTCAGTCGTCCTCCTCGTCAGAATCGACTGCCTTTTCTTTTTCACAGCCACCAGTACACGTAAAGGAACAGTAATACACTGCTGTAGATGTACAATAAAATTCAATAATAATGCAAATCAAATAAATCAAAAATACTTACAAATTTGGTCGCTGTGAATCTCATAGATCCATGAGGTATCTACGGCAGTGAATGACACCACTCGAGAAGTCAAACCAACACTAAAGTGTGACGCCTGTTAAGGTAGGAGGATACTGTAACGGATATTCTCCTACTCCAAATGACTAGCGCCATTCGGCTAAATATGAAACCAGTGGATCTCACAGATCCCGCGCGACTAATCGAGTGTTAAGTATGCTTTACCTACAACCTTATACTTGTCATTGTTTTTGGGGAATAATAAACGTATTATTATTATTATTATTATTATAAACGAACTGTAGAAATGCTCAACGTGACCAGAGTACAGATAGAAACTGTTACGGGACTGGCACTGTATAATGGCGACCCAAGCTGCAGACTATGCGGAAAGGAACCAAAAGCAGTATCACATATTCTGTGCAGATGCGAGGCATTGGACCGCATAAGACAGAAGATTTATCTCACATCCAGTGAAGGATTTGTACAGACTTGTTTAAGGTACAGAGATAATTGAGTGGGCGCAATAAAAATCTACTAGGTAGGATACAATGGGCCACTAGGCCTGAGTGTCGTCTGAGACAATGGTCACAAGAGCCTACAAGCGGGGTGGAGTGTTTAGTGGGGATACCCTGGCTAGAGTCAGGGGACTCCCACAGTATCATATAGGGGATTAGACCCATATGATGTTCATAAAGGATTTCAACCACCTCAACAACAAGTTCTTACCTTTCTATTCTAAGCTTCTATGCCATCTTTTCAATCAAGTGTAAAAAGTTGTTTCATTACAGCACTGGCGGGTTTCCAGTTCCTATTCAAATTTAAGTAGCATCAATAAATCGAGCTATTTTATCATTGCAATCCTGCTATCAAAGTGTAACGTTAGGGTAACAAACGAATTACTTTGTTCAAATTAGAGGTCAGTGGTGATTTTTTAATTTTCGTTTTTACTGAAAAGACAATATTATACCTCGCCTACTTAGGTTTTCATTTAGAATGACAATGGGTCAACAAACATAGGGACAAATCAATTTCGTTGGGTACAAATCAGAATTTTGTTGGTGTACCTTTTCGCATGTACCGCAGTTACTTCAGAAAGCAACTTCTGTGTCTCATAATCATTTTCATCCCTATTGATCAACTCTTCCCCTTGAGAATGGATTCCCATGAAATCACACAGCTTCAATAGCAATCGTTCTTCGATTATAGTTGTTATTTTCTTCAATCTCAACATCAAATGCTGAAACAACAATTTTATTATGCATGATTATACTTCAATTCCCCCTACCTACCTTGAAGATCACTGCATTTTCGTTAAGTTTTTTCTGCATTTCCGCATTGAAATCCAGCGCTGGTAGATGATCTTGAGCTTCCAAATTATTTTTCGAACTGACTGGCGTTATATACATTATAACTGGAACTGAAGTGTCCATGAGCTGAAAACATAACCAGAACAGATGATTGAAGATGAAAGCACAAGTTCGGATTTAGCAAAGTTGAATATCTCTATGAAGCTTTGAAGAAAATTATCAATGAAGGGGTTTCTTTCAGATGAATTTTCATAAAATGAGTTCGGGGCTCCTCAGTTTCATGTCCACGTGGTACATAATGACGATCGATAAAGTCCAAATCGTTGTTTTTTTGGAAATAAAGAAATTTCTGATTTTCGGAGCGGCAATCAGTGACGTGCGTACATTCTGAATCTAGTCTGAAAATAGCTGATGATGAAGAATATAGCTAGCGAATAGCTAATGAATAAAAAACGAACAAATAAAATACAAGAAGAAAAATAAGAAGAAAATAACGATGATCAACTAACTAACAAAACAACTATAAACTGTAGACATCGGCTAAGGAATAACTGGAGGTCAAAAATCGACATGAGTTAAACTGGTAAACAAAAACAGATCAGCTCTCGGTTGCCTGTCAGTAATTTGTGTGGTGTGGACGGGCTAAAAGTATTATGCTATGTTGCAAGATATAATCTGCAACTTTCCTAGGAAATAGATCCGTTATGATTATTATTTTGTAATATAACAAAAGTGAAAAATTATAGATACTATTCGCGATAGAAAATAAGCGTCCGCCTCCTATCGGAGTTCTTGAAAGCTGTCAAAGCGGCATGTCTACTTTGTGTTCATTGGTTCACATTTGTTTTTTGTTTGTGCTTATTGGTCATATCATCAAAACAAACCGCTCAGACGTGTTCAATATGCTGTCGTCAGGTGAGACGACGTGTTATTTTCTATCGCGGATTGCAAAATATCATAATTTATCTTCATTAGTAATCAACTTCACCCAGCATTTTTGAAAATTATTCGTAACACTCGACAGAGCAGGATTAGAAAACCTATTATATCCCATAGTTATTATGTATTCAAAGAATAATTTCCGGAAATCTAGACATATTGATGATGCCGGCAACATCGTACTGCCAGAGGAAATCTTATTTTACCGCTGTGTGAATGTGGCTTTTCATAAAATACGTCATAGGAATGGTGAAGGATCCATGTTCCTTTTTCATTAATTTTTTTCTGAAGTGAACTTTGATCTTACGAAAAAAAAAACATAAAAAAAACGTGTTAATTGAATTTTAAGAAAATTCACAATGAGATAAAAACCTCAATACTGGAAACATCCCCATTATGTTGAAACAGAAAAATATTTCCATTAAACTGGCAAGATATAATTACCTGATTATCAATTTGTATATCCTTGATGCTAATACAAAACTGATTGCTCTGCGATGTCAGTGAAGCCTCGGCAACGATTGTCGAGAAATGCGAATACAGCAGTTCTTCCGGTGTCTTCCTGCACACCAAACTGATGCCTAGTCCTCTCAGATGCACTCTGAACTGCATCTCCATGTCATTACTGTTACCATCTCCTTTTTACAAAGAGAAAGATTAGTGTTCTATCAAAAATAGGGAAGGTCAAGATGTTCAACCACTTGACCATTCATTATTCCAGATTTTTTTGGGATTTTTTCTCCTCGTCTCTATAAAATAAAAATATGAATACTATTTCAATATACGTGTAGTTTGGACAAATCAGAAGATTTGCCCCAAAATGTCACTGCGTTTAAAGAATTTTTCTATCAGAGAGCCTAAGAGAAAAGTTCACTAGTTGTCAGTGACAATTTGTATTTAAAAAGGTTTGGAGAAGAGAAATAAAGGTATATAGAAGAGATATCAAATTCTTACTTATCTTTGGACGTTTCAGGAACGAATCTGCTCCCGTTTCCAACATAAAAAATGGATTTTTTGTATGGCGAATTCGTATTTGTCCTGAGACTTTTCAGTTCTCAGTGACAATTGGTGACGTTGGCAATCAAATGAGTTATAGGATGTTTTCATTAATTAATCTTGAATTCACCATTTTCATTTTCAGATTTCAGTAGTGAATACCATGTTCCACCTATATCAACTGAACAGGAAGCAATGCTATTGTCTCCGTTCAGAAGAATGCAAGCAGATTCCTTGATTTTTCTCTTCTGGTTGTTATCTTCTTTTCCAATGATTTTAATATTATTCCATTCTGCCATATGTTGTCTTTGTTTAGTAAGGATATGTTCAGCTAGTTTCGATTTGTCGATGTGTCTTTTCTTATATTGTATTCATGTTCTTTCGTCCTTACTGGAAGAGGTCTCTTGGTTTCACCTCTTCTCCAAACCTTTTTCAATACAAATTGTCGCTGACAAGCTAGTAAATATTTCTTTTAGGCTCTCTGATAGGAAAATTATTTTGACATTTTAGGGTCAATCATCTGATTTGTCCTAATTACACATATATTGAAATAGTATTCATATTTTTATTTTATAGAGACGAGGAGAAAATCCCAAGAAAATCTGGAATAATGAATGTACCACCTCCTCGATTAACCGATTGACAGTTTATGTTTTCAAGAGTTAAACATTTCGTATAGTGAGATAAGCTAAAAAGGTGTCGGATGTCGAATGTGAATGAAATCGGCGCTACTGTCAGAATTATTTTATTTTATCAGATCAACAACTGTTGAATTGTTACTTATTGAAAATTAGAACAAGACACTGCTGAGTGTGAACAAATGAGACACAAAATACACGTTATGGGCTCTCGGTCTTTATCGATAGTATTGCATGGTATTACCCCTGGGGCCTAACTCTCGAACCATTGAAATACAATTCCTATGGGAACGAAAGAGACAGAAATACAGCGCATCAGAGCGAGACTGTAGTTCGAATTCCTATAGGAATAAATTCGAATATCGAGCCCCTGAAAGGAAAACCTACCGGCTTCGTCCACTGCCAAATTCGGCCGTTGATCCACAGAAATGGCGCCCCACTCCCGCTCGTCGGGCGCGGCGTACGTCCGCTTCTCCTTGAGGTCCTTCACGCTGACGACCTGCGTGGGCCCGTCCATGTGCACGTGCACGGCGAGGAAGCCGGAGCCGGGGCGCAGGCGCTGTCGCTCGATGCAGTGCTCGATGGGCACGCCGCGGTCGGTGAGCTTGTAGCACACCGGCTGCGGGAGGCCTAGGACGGCTGCGTTGCCTACAACGTCGAGAAATCTTGTTATGATTTTTTCATTTAGCACTAGCTCAATAGTATATTTTAGATAAGTAGTATATACTGTCATTGCAAAATCAAAAACGGTTGAGTTTCTGGGAACCTTATTCGACAGTAACCTTTCATGGGGAGAGCAAACCAATGCTGTATGCAAAAAAATCAACCAATGCTTTTACCTATTGACAGTCCTAAATTCCATGTTAGATAGAGATACTCTGTTGAATGTGTATTACTCATATGCATACTCTGCAATTGCGTACAGTATGATTGTCTGGGGACAAGGACGTGAAGTTCAAAGAGTGTTCGTATTGCAAAAAAGGATAGTTCGCTTTATATTTGATTTACCTTTTCAAACTTCGTGTCGCAACATATTTAGAGACAAGGAAATTCTAACGGTGACTTCTATTTATCTATTGAAATTACGGAGCAATACTTATCGAATCCAACATAAATTAGCAAAAAATAGTGATATACATAAGCATGACACGAGAAATAAAAATGACTTTTTGCTCAGAAGAGCAAATCACAATTACTATAAAAAATCACCTCTTATCGCTGGGGTTTCTTACTTCAATAGGCTTCCCAGTCACTTAAAAAACAGTCCTACATACGAAGTTTTTAAAGAAAGGTTGAAACACGTTTTAGTAAATACTTGTTTTTATGATCTGGAGGAGTTTGACGTTTTTCTCTCCAATAATTGAAATGTTTTATACTAATTTATTTCGTCCAATATCAGTGTATTTGTTTCTGTTTTCATTTCTTGGACAGTTACAGTTGTTATATCAGTTCTATGTTCTATGTTCTATGCTTTTTATTGTATACATGTACCGACTCGTCCAATCTATTGTACTATAGGGAAAAAGGATTTAATAAATTTGAATTTGAGCAGATGATATGGTACGCAGACCGAAGACCCTGGTTGACAGTGTTGATACTAGTAAACAAGACAAATACAAATGAACTACTGATCAAGTGAACTGCAGCACATTTTTGTCCTGAATTCAACATTGAATATTTTACCATGAATTCCACACATTCGAATGCGTTCATTGTTCAGTTTGTTATGATTTTTTATTCAGCACTAGCGCTCTATAGTATAATGTAGATGAGTATGAAGCAGATGATATGTTACGCAGACCGAAGACCCTGGTTGACACTAGTGAACAAGCCAAATACAAATGAACTGCTGATCAAATGTTCCGCAGCAAGCACATTTTTGTCCTAATTTCAACATTGTATATTTTCCCAAAAATTCCACATATTGGAACGCGCGAATGCGTCTTTTTTTCAGTTTGAAGGTAAATGAGGAAGTTTCCTATATTGAGGTTTTCATCTCGCTATGAAGTTTGTAAAAAAATAATATATACGTATTTTTTCTTTTCTTCGTGAGATCAAATTTCACTTCAGAAAAAAAAATAAAAGAGGAACTTGGCTCCTCCACCACTCCTATGACGTTCTTTCTGAAAATCCACACGCACACAGAGTTATAATACGATTCCCTGTACCAGTACGATGTTGCCGACATCATAAATATGTCTAGATTTCCGGAAATCTGCATAATAACTGCATCATAACAGCAATGGGATATAATAGGTTCTTCAATCCTATTTTGCCAAGTATTATGAATAATTCCCATAAATCTCCCATTGACTGAAAGAAGTTGATTACTAATACAGATAAATTATGATATTTTGCGATTATATCTATAATTTCTCACTATCCTTATATTACAATATGTTATTCATAACTTGCCAGTAATTTGTTTGCTAATGAATTCGTTCCTTAATAAAACGGATCTATTCTCTGGGAAAGTTACAGATTATATCTTGCAACAGCGCCTAATACTTCGAGTCCATCCACACCACTCAAAATACTGACAGGCACAACAAGAGGAAGGAGCCATGAGTGTCGGCTTCATTCTGTTCTGACCGATGACAGTAAATTAGGAAGGATAGTATCATTGAATGTAGCCGATAGTGATTCATTGATTCAATGATATTTCCATTTAGGATCGAGCTCCATTCGAGATATGTCAATGCATAAATAACAAAACCATAATCTGTCAGAATGAAACCAACTACCTTCTGCATTCCTGCTCCCAGTGCATTTGTGGTTATGTATGTTTTTGTGTACCAGTTTTACTTCTTCTTCTATTTTTTTCATACGTTTTTCAATCGTTAGCTATTCATTAGCTATTCGCTAGCTATATTCTTCATCATCAGCTATTTTCAGACTAGGTTCAGAATGTACGTCACAGTTTGCCGCCCCGAAAATTAGAAACTGCTTCAATTTAAAAATGAAAACGACTTGGACTTTATCGGTCGCCATTAAGTACAGCGTGGACATAAAACTGGAGAGTTCTGAACTTATTTTGAGAAAACTCATCTGCAGGAAACTTCCCCATTCATTGGGTATATGACAGCTAGACCGCTGCCGCTCGATGCAGTGCTCGGTGGGCACAACGCGGTCGGTGAGCTTGAAGTAGCACACCGGCTGCGGGAGGCCTAGGACGGCTGCGTTTTCTACAACGTCGAGCCATCTTGTTAAACTATACTTTACATAAGTATGAAGCAGATGGTATGGTACGCAGACCGAAGACCCTGGTTGACACTAGTAAACGAGCCAAATACAAATGAACTGCTGATCAAGTGAACCGCAGCAAGCACATTTTCGTCTTAATTTCAACATTGTATATTTTCCCAAAAATTCCACATATTCGAATGCGTTTTTCTTCAGTTTGAAGATAAATTCATTGGGTATCACTGAGCCAGCACGGGCTACATCGCTGGACCTGGGGGCACGGAAACGGGGCTCACACAGAAACCCAAACGCGGGACTAACATCGGTCTGGTACTGGGCAAGCGAAGACCCTGGCGAAGGGGCACCTCCGGAAGTCTAGAATAAGCAGGCGAGGGGAACACAGGGAGCCTCATGAATGTAAGGAAATCGCCGCCCCCCTAGAGACCAGATTGCCAGAGGTGTGGGACGAAACAACTGGGGTAACACAATGGATCCACCTGAGCAGTCTAAGTGAATCGAGGTCTCCAGAGAGCTCGCTCCCTGATTCCGAAATCCTTATTGTGATCCCAATAATACGGCCTTTATACAGGGTGACATAGAAAAAAGTACAATGCATAGTGCCACACAATAGGCTGAGATGCAAGATCTAGGATTTTCTTTTTTTTATATACGATTTTATATCACTTCATGAAATGTATGTACTTCAATTGGAGAGAAATAAAATAAAATCAAATCAAATAACGTTCACTCCATCGAACTCACCTGGCCGCAATCCGTAAAACCCGTCCACGGCCTGCACGCACATGTTGCAATGGTCGCAACACAATCTGCCGTCCTCGGTGAACCTCCATTTCTGCGTCGACTTCCTTCTCGGATCGATTCGCCGCAACATCAACCGCGAGTAGGTGTTGGGCTGCGGGGCGGTGCTCTCGATGTCCAACACGAGGATGCTGTCGCGACTTTGCGGCTGACCGGGAGGCAACGGGGGATTGCTACCTAATTGAACAATAGTCAATTTGTATTCCTCTATACAGGGTGTTATTTAAGTATGTAGCCAAACCTCAAGGAGTGATTATGTGCGTGATTCTAAAACGAAAAGTTCTTGTAAACATAGGTCCAGAAATGATTCGTCTTCAAAATTCTGTTTTTAAATTTTAATGAAACTTGATGTTTTTGTTAACAGTATCAAGAAGCCTCTTTTGGTGTAATTACAATACAAGTAATAATCCCAGTGGCGTCGCAGTGGGTTACCTTTTCGATTTGTTTGGTAAATAAGGCATCTACGCCATAGTTTTTTTCCAAGTTCGACATGTTCATCAGACTGAACAATCGAAAATTTAACTTTCTTGTCCTCTATCACTTTTTTCTATATCACTTTGGTTCTGAGGAAATAATTAAAAAATTATTTGTGCCCAAATTCGAATATAGATGCCCTCAAATCACCTATTGGAATCACTCAATAACCTCAATGAGTATTATTATGAAATTTTGAGATTTTTCTAGTCACCAATCAGACTAAATTTTCCCATCATGAAAGCTTATACAGGGTAATCATGAAAAACAACAATCAATACTTCCAACTTCAACTCCCTATATCTTTAAAACGAAACAATTCAGGACCTATGTTTATATGAACTTTTCGTCTTTGAATCACCCAAATAATCGCCCCTTGAAGTTTGGCCACATACTTGAATAACACCCTGTATAGTGCATGAGGAATCATTGAACGCTCTTTTTTATTATTCCAGATTTTTTTGGAATTTTCTCTCGTCTCTATAAAATAAAAATATGAATACTATTTCAATATACGTGTGGTGAGGACAAATCAGATGATTCACTAGTTTGTCGGTGACATTTTGTATTTAAAAAGGTTAGGAGAAGAGAAATAAAGGAATATAAAAAAATATCAAATTTTTACTTACCTTTGGACAGTTCGGGAACGAATCTGCTTCCCGTTTTTGTATGACAAATTCGTATTAGTCCTGACACTTTTCAGTTCTCAGTGACAATTGGTGGCGTTGGCAATCAAATAAGTTACAGGATGTTCTCATTAATTGATCTTGAATTTACCATTTTCATTTTCAGATTTCAGTAGTGAATACCATGTTCTATCTATATCAACTGAATAGGAAGCAATGCTAGTGAAAACTGTGTTCAAAACTGAAAATACAATGAGATCAATTCCAACATTGTCTTTAACAGTATACCTCGTGTTTGTGGAAAGTTTTTACAGGTGAAACCAAGGTTTTTCTTTTAGTAAGGACGAAGGAACATAAATACAATATAAAGAAAAGACACATCGACAAATTGAAACTAGCCGAACATATCGTTACTGAAGATGGAACAACATATGGGAGAGTAGAATAATATTAAAATCATTGGAAAAGAACAACCAGAAAAAAAATCAAGGAATTTGCTTGCATTCTTCTGAAAGAAGACAATAGCATTGCTTCCTGTTCAGTTGATATAGATAGAACATGGTATTCACTGAAATCTGAAAATGAAAATGGTATATTCAAGATTAATTAATGAAAACATCCTGTAACTCATTTGATTACCAACGTCACCAATTGTCACAGAGAACTGAGAAGTGTTAAGACAAATACGAAGTTGCCATACAAAAAAAACATTTTTTATGTTGAAAACGAGAGCAGATTCGTTCCCGAAACGTCCAAAGATAAGTAAAAATTTGATATTTTTTCTTTATACCTTTATTTATCTTCTCCAAACCTTTTTCAATACAAATTGTCACTGAGAAGCTAGTGAATTTTTCTTTTAGGCTCTCTGATAGTAAAATTATTTAAACGCAATGACATTTCAGGGCAAATCATCTGATTTGTCCTCACTACAGGTATATTGAAATAGTATTCATATTTTTATTTTATAGAGACGAGGAGAGAAAATCCTGAAAAAATCTGGGAAAATGAATGTACCACCTCGTCGATTAACCTACAGACAGTACGTTTTTTTTTTGTGGGACCAATTTGAGTTCAGAAAAAAATCGTGAAGTTAAAATTTCAACTCCTTCACCATATTCATGACGTACTACTCAGAAAAGCCATTTACGCACAGCTGAAAATGCGAGCAGTTTCACGCCAGTACAACCAGATTCGGGAAATTTCGCTCTTACATCATATTTAACAATGATACCTGAATTGACGAATTCAGCCAATAGTTTGGGTAGAAATTGGATATTTCTTAAAATTACATACCGAATACCTGATAAAATGGGAATTCTACATAGCTATTATACAGGCAACAGTGGTTGTAAAACCAGATTTACACCAAACTGAAAAGTATTTTGTTTACATAGGTCGCGTGCACATGTGTCAAATGACACAGGTAAAACAAACTCACTTTTCTTATTTGTTTACAAAGGATTGAAATAATTTTTCACAATTAAAAATGCAGCGAGAGACAAAGGAATAAGATTTTTCAGATAAATTGTGATCTATGAGTTCTGTAGTTACTCTGTCAATCCTCTTCAGAATGCCTGCTGCTACTTCTCCAATAAAAGCTAATAGAAACTAATAGAGTGAAAATGTAACATACACGACCATATTTCGTCAGCATGTCAGACCAGTCCTCCCGTTTGACTGCACGAATCCAAGCTTGTTGTCTTATTTTAGAAACTTCACAGGTATTTCTATTAGCTCCTACTGCAGAAGGAATTCTAAAGAGATGACAACATTTCAAAATGAAAACTATGTGACTACAGGACGAATAATTTACCTACCTGAAAAATCTTATTCCTTCAACTGTCGCTCCATTTTGTGTGCATTATAAAACAGCACAATGAGATGGCCTGCTTGAATGAATAAATATCCCAAGAAAAACGATTCATATGGCAAAATAATTGCGAAAAACCACTTCAATCCCACGCAAACAATTGAGAAAAGTGAGGTTGTTTACCTCCAGGGTCGGTCATCTGACAAATTTGCACGGGACCTATTTTTGATGAAGGTTTGAGTTTAGGCCATACTGACAGCTTTCTCCATATTCTTATTTTTTGGTACGTAGGTGTGAAGGAAATAAGTCAAGAAACTCATCATAGAGAAATATCCCCAAATGTCACTAGATCTAGAAAGTACGTCATAAGTCTGCTTCATTGATAATTCTTGATTGTTGTATTTTGAAAATGTTTGATGCAGATGCGATACTTCAATCAACTATGTGAAAACAGACTATACTACTTGTTTCCCATTGACACTGCTAGCTCCATACTCGGTCAAAATGGATTCACTCATGTAGCCTTAACCGAGTTCAATAAATTGCCTGACAATATAAAAAACTGCAGAAATATAGCTAGTACGTTCAAACGGAAAATGAAAAAACTGATTATTTCTGAACGAATTGAATAACATTTTTAGTCATGTTGTTTTAATATGCTTTTTCTACCAATGTGTACAGTGTCTATCTCATTACACACTACATTTTTAACTGAAATGATGTATAGCAACATCATATGTATGAAAAAAACATTATCAAGTACTGTTCATGTGGAACAGAATCCATTTATGTGCAAAGCCAAATAAAAAAAAGAAACCACAACAGTACTGTACCCACCTTCATGCTGCAGATAACCTTCTGACGTCATCCTCCACAACTGGGATCTTTCGCTAGGTATCTTGTGAGCCAAGATCACTTTGGTGTGTTTCACTACGTCCAAAACTAACTCTTGACTTTCCACGTCATTTGGATCTCTGATTCCGCGAGGACTGAAACAATGATGAGATTGAATGAAATCGAAACACGTTTTGAACGGAAAACCCTGTTTCTCGAAAATCTACATAATTTACTGAATTTGATCAGACCACAAAAGTGACATTTGTAGCCATATGAAATTAGTGGATTAAATTGATTCATAACCAAATCAGAGAGTGCAATTTGGAAAATGAAAGCAATACAATAGTATGATTATATACCTAGGTACAGAGTAAATTTCTCTAAACCAAGCTGTATCAGTTTCCGGAATGCTTCAACATCGACCATGAAACATTCCTAGGTTAGGAATAATAAATGAATACCTAAGTTCGAATAGATGTCTCAACGGTACAGAAAACTGTCACAATATAAGATGTGTTTTCCAATAGGCAGATACTATTATACCTACTAGTCATCGAGAGATCGAAAAGTCCTCCTATTGGAGAACACCTCTAGGTACACGACAAGCAAAATGGTTCATCAACCATTCGCAAAACCGAGCCAAAGACCTACTTTTTAACAGGAAACTGCCCTCTGAGGTGCCACTTCAAAACGATGGGTTTAGCGGAGACTGACACTTTCCGCTTTTGCAACAATGCGACCGAAACTGCGGAACCCTCACTTGCAAAATTTTCCTACACATTGAAAAAACATTTCCTTGATTCATCGACTTGATTTTGATATGTCTTGAATAAAATTATTTCACTTTTGTTTATATCCACACATTTCAATCACTACTTATATGTTGTATCTACTCAATTATTCATTACTTCAATTGATTTTTATTCAACTTTGTAATTGTCATTCGAATTCGATTGTTTTGAATCTGTATTTCGAGATATGACTTATTTGTGCATACTGTTGGGTGAGTCCCGATTGTATTCCTTTTGGTGAATGAATAAATAATGTATTATTTCGCCAAAGGCTGAATCACCTACAACATTTCTATCTAACGCCTGCTGAGGTGGAATATTCAACCGTCAGAAATTTCTAGGCTTCATCAGAAGTCTAGGGTTAGATGACTAAAACTAGATAAGGGACAATAGATCTTCAGTAATCAATTCAAGTGTATATACAAAATCATACATTTATCAAGTAATCAAAAGGTCAATAAAAATAAAATTGGTACAAATCAGGCATCAGTGAAGTTAATTTTCTGTGATTCAGATTCTTCACACATTCCACATATTCTTCGATGGAATAGAACGAATTTTTGAGCAGAAATACTTTCATTGTTTTTTTGAAATAAAAAGTGTTCAAATTTCTGACTTCTACCGGGAGAATGTTGAAGTGAGTATAATTGAAAGAGTTTTTTTGAGATTTTGTGAGCCTATACCTGGGGACACGAATACTAAACTATCCTCTGGTGTTATAATTATGTATATCTGATTGTGTAGTCATGGAAGAAACATTTTTATGAATTTCAGTTACAGTATTCCAAATATAAAGTGAAGGGAGGGTAATGATATCCAATTTTCTGAATCGTAATCGGTAGGTTTCTCTGTAATTGACATTACTCAGAATTCTTATTGCTTTTGTTGTTGTCGAAAAACTGTAAGTGCTGCCGATGAGTTACACCAGAGGACAATCCCATAATTGAGATGGGTTTGAAATAGAGAAAAGTATAATGTTCTGAGTGTATTAATATTACTAAGGTGTCTGAGTAGTCACATATTGAAGATAGAGCTGGATAATTTAAGGTTCAGTTGCCTGATATGACTTACCCAGTTTAGCTTCTCATCCAGAGTGAGACCCAAAAATTTTACATTTCTTTCCTCGTGTGGAAATATGCTGGTAGAGACTATTAAATTTTGTGATTTGTAACTGTTTAATTTGAGATTGTTTTCGATAAACCAGTTTATGGCTTTCTCTTCAATTTCATCAGACAAGAGATTCAATGAATCGTGATTTTCATGAGAATATATTAGTGTCAGGTCGTCTGCTACTGCTATGGGGATAACAAAGTGGGTAAATCATTGATATATATTATAAACAGTGAAGGCCCTAGCACAGAACCTTGTGGTACACCAAATCTAACACCTTTGAAATCAGATAGTTCATTATTGTAATATACTGTTTGAAATCGATCGCTTAATTAGGATTCAATGAGACTGAGAGTGACGCCTCTGATTCCATAGTAGTTTAGTTTCTCAAGAAGTATTTCATGGGAGACACAGTCGAAGACTTTAGACAGATCACATAGAGTAATACTCATGTGATAACCTTGTTCAAGACCCTCAACTATTTTCTATATAACACTTAGTGCTGCACTGGTTGTCGAGCGACCATTCCTAAAACCATATTGTTGATTACTGAAAAAATTATTTTCTTCAAAGTACTTAGTTGGTTGTTGTTTCATGATTTTTTCAACAGTTTTTGCAAAAATACAGATGATAGAAATAGGTCGGTAGTTCAAAGTATCAGTCGTGTCTCCCTTCCTGAAAAGCGGAATAATTTCGAAAATTTGAATAGATCTGGAAATTTACCTGATTCAAAAATTCCATTTATTAGCTCAGTTAGTTGCTCCACAATTATATCATCTATTGCTTTTATTATTCTGCTATTGAGATCATATGTGTCTGTACATGAGGAGTTTTTTGAAAAGAAGATAGCTTCAAGAACATCAGAATTTGTGACTGGTCCGTCGAATTTTCATTTTTTTCCTTGGTATGGTTTCATTCAAACTTAATCAGGCGCCAGCTGGCTTTTGATTTATTATTGGCCCCCAAGAGATGATTGTTATATGCCGTTTTTTTAGCACATATGAGTTGTTTCTCGTAATCTTTTTTGAAAAGCTTATAGATCTCTATATCCTTTGGCTCTCTGGTTGAATCACCAACAGTTTTTATGCTCATTAAAGTATTTCTTCGAGACCTGAGCTCATCTATGAACCACGGCCCCAGTTGTTTTTTCTTATTCAAATTTGTCTTTTGTACAGGAAATAACTTCTCCATCAAGTCATGAAAAGTTGTGATCAGAAAAGAGGCTAAGAAATCAACGTTCGAGTTTAACTTGAAAAACTCCAATGTATCAATGATAGTTCATTATTTAATGCTATCAGACCTGAATTCGTAATTTTTCTGCTGTAGGTATGATTGACCAATATGAATAGAATAGAATAGAAGTTTATTGACTATTTTATGTACATACAAAGCACATTTATAGCAGGTCAAAAACATTTATACATGTAAATTTGCAAATAAACAGACAATTTTTATTAAAATACATACTCATAAAATCACTGTGTGAACTGTGTGATGATCATTATTTGTTTGGTGTTTTAGAAATCGGCACTCAGATATTCCTCAACGGAGTAGAAACTGTTGCTAACTAAAATGTGTTTTATGGTTGTTTTGAATAGCTCAAATTTCATTTGTTTGATATTATCTGGCATCTTATTGAAAAGTCGAAGATTGCGAGAGTGCCGTGAAGATACTTCTAGACGGTATCGGGGATTTAATAGGAGATTATTATTCCTCGTATTGTACTGATGTATGTCATTATAAGCAGTATAATTTCTTAAGTGTTGATGAATCTCAAGGAGACTCTGATATATGAAGACTGATGGTAAGGTCATTATTCCCAGATTAGCAAATATAGATTTACATGAGTCTCTAGGTCCTGCACCTGTAATAACTCTCACTGCCGTTTTCTGCATTATAAAAACACGGGAGACCTGATAGGAATTTCCCCATAATAAGGTTCCATAGCTAATATGCGAGTGAAATAATGCAAAATATGATACTCTGTCGATGTGAGACGACCAGTTTAGTTTATCATCTAGAGTAATACCAAGCAATTTAGCAGTATTTCCTTGTGAAATGTTATTATTAGAAGAGAATAATAGTTTTTGAGACTTGCTTTCATTTTGCTTGAGCAAATTACTAACTAGCCACTCATCAATTTTCGTAAGTGCTGTATTATCTTTGATTTCAATGTTCGCTAGACTTTTGTCTGAATGATAAAATGTTGCATCATCAGCAAATAATATACACTCCGATGAACTCATGTTCACAAAAATATCGTTCACGTATATTATGAATAAAAGAGGCCCAAGTACCGAGCCTTGTGGAACTCCAAAATTATTCTGTTGAGACCTAGATATACCGTCATTGAAGAACACCCTTTGATTTCGCTCGCGTAAAATAGGAGTCGAAGAAGTTTAGAGCTATTGCTCTAACACCATAATATTCAAGCTTTTTCAATAGAATTTCATGCGAGACACAGTCGAAGGCCTTACTGAGATCACACAGGGTTGTGCTCGTGCATTCACCCAGCCCAAAGCCCTCGACTATGTATTCTACCAGGCTAATTACAGCATGTATGGTACTTCGTTTTTTCCTGAAACCGAACTGATTCTCATGCAGGAGATTATTAGTGTCGAAATATGATACAAGTCTTCATAATAATTTCGTAATAATAATATGTTGGGTTTTACATCAACTACTGTTAGATACTGACATGCATGATCCGATATACAGGGTTCTAGAACACCAGATTCATAATGAGTAGGGTTTATATTTGTTAGGAGTTCGTCAAGGCAACTCGACTTTTGATTGGATATTCTAGTCTAGTCCTGAATTGTAACTGATGGTCCGTACATCAAGTGATGAGGATTCCTTATTGAAGTCTATGTTAAAATCTCCCAGTACAAGGTTTTTTTTTTATAATGATACAAATGCTTATCCAACAAAGACTTTAGATTTCTCATGAATATTTTACCATCAGACAGTCATACTCACTTCTTGAAAGTCCCGGCGAAGGCAATGTAAATGAAATTCTCGTACGTCAGCCCCGGCGCCGAACCCAAACCACCCATGCCGTAGTCGTTCCACACGCCGCCGGGCGCCACCAGCCGCATCGAATGCGTCTTAGTCGGCTCGTCCCAGGCGTACGGCACGCTGGAGTGCGCACGCGCCGTGCTGTGCGCAAAGTCCACGTGACAGCTCTGGCCGAACATGATCGACACCTCGGAGAAGTTGTCGACTCGGATGGGCGGCGGCATTTTGTCGGCGTCGGTGAAGACGACGAAGAAGGTGGCGGCTTGCAGCAGCACTTCCAAGCGTAGGAAGTACACGCGGCCGTTGGAGTCGCTGGAACAAATAGATATCTTTGTATCGAAACTGACCTATATTAGACCAGGGTCGATAATTTTTTAAACAAAAAAAAAATAGTAGAATAATGATGGAAGTAAGATATGGTGCGCGTATTCGGCCATTATTACATATTGAAAATTTCAGAAAAATCACTCGACCGCCTACTATGATTTCTCCAGATCACAACGAGCGAGACGTTGATTCTACATTTTCCCGCTAGATGGTGATGCTGCTATTGCTGCTGTAACGAGTGGAAATAAAATGGCAAATGGTATTTTAGGTACGCGGAACATATGTAACAGTGGGATTATTCAACTCTGAATTCGAAAAATCTGCGACAATTTCAAAACTGACAGATGTCATAATTGTGCAATGTCGCCATCTATTAGAAGATCGACGGAACCATTGCTCTCGCTGTTCTCGAGAGGTCGAGTAAAATTTCTGAAACAAAAGCGCATCAGTAATTACACCATATCTTACTTCCATCATTAGTAAAATGAAACCCGTTGAGAAAGGACGAGGAGATAACAAAGATGAAAGGGATAATGAATTACGGACGATCTGAGGTCGGAAAGTGGTAGGGAGTGAGTTTTCAAGGGTAAAAATCGTTTTATCTTGATTTCCAGCAAAACTACGAGCCCTGTGGAAAAAAGTTGAATAGCAAAGTTGTAGGTAATAAAGAGACCTACAACTTTTGTAACCACACTTTTTTCACACAACCTCAAAATTTATGTGAAAAATTCATATAATCAAGTTTTTGGTTTTTTATTTTTATCCTATGCGAAAACAATTTTTTTTTCACGAGATCTGGTGAAAACTCACCTTTTCATGTCCTGAAGACACTGTAATTTTTTTGTATTGAAATATTTATTTTTTCACCTTATTTTGACTTAATATCGAAAAAACACCCTAATTTTCAATCGAAAATACTCACGTCAAAATATCAGCTTTTTAAAAACACTCGGGGCGTTTTTTGTTCGTTGAAATCTCTTCTTCTTGATAATGTGAAAAAAATATACACATCACTATAGTAAATGTTCTCAGGGAAGCATGGAAAAGAAAAAACTCGAATCACTATGTCCAATTCTGAGCTATTTAGTGAAATTTGCACTTCAATTACATAAAGATTGCAAGGAACGTGCGAAAATAATTGTTCTAAATATTAAAGATAGGGTTTGAAGGAAGTTAGTGATTTAGATGGAATTGGATACGAAGACGGTGATGGTCTTGAAGATTTCAAAGATCTACTAGAATCGGGAAGGTTTGTCGAATCTCACGATGAAGAAATGCCACCGAAGAGGCAAAGAGTAATGAATATGTGATTAGAGTTCAAGGTAAGATTTATGAATTAGAAGATGAATGCATTTAAAAATATTATTATGAATAATAATGATCAGTATAAAGTATCTCAATTCAATAGTACGATTTACATTTCTATTCATATATTATGAGATTTTCCATGACATAAATGTAATTATAATTTGATAGATTAACTTTTTGACCATGAGGAAAATTGCAGCAATCACATTTTTTTATTGAAATCCCCCCTTTAAATCCTATCTTTATTATTTAGAACAACTATTTTCGCATGTTTCTTGCAATCTTTATGATTTATGGATTTGTATTTTTTTTGTTTTTCAATATAACATAGAATCTTACGTTTTTCAAGTAATTAAAGTGAAAATTTCACAAAATAGCTCAAAATTGTACATAGTGATTTAAAATAAATTCGGATTCGAGTTTTTTTCTTTTCTTTGCATTTTCTGAGAACATTTACCATAGTAATGTATATATTTACTTACATTATCAGGAAGAAGAGATTTCAACGAACAAAAAACGCCCCGAGTTTTTTTGAAAAGCTGATATTTTGACGTGAGAATTTTTGATTGAAAATTAGTTTTTTTTTTCGATATTATAAAAAAATTACAGTGTCTTTAGGACATAAAAAGGTAAGTTTTGACCAAATTTCGTGAAAATGAAATTTTTTTTGCAGAAGATAATAAAAACAAAAAACTAGATTTTTTTCACATACATTTTGAGGTTATGTGAAAAAAGTGTGGTTACAAAAGTTGTAGGTCTCTTTATTACCTACAACTTTGCTATTCAACTTTTTTCCATAGGGCTCGTAGTTTTGCTGGAAATCAAGATAAACCGTTTTTTACCCTTGAAAACTCACCCCCTACCACTTCCCGACCTCAGATCGCCCGTAATTTATTTTCCCTTTCATCTTTGTTATATTCTCTTTCTTTATCAATGAGTTTCATCCTACTATGATTTTTCTTCACATTTTACCGTTTTCAAAGGCTTCAGCACTGGTCTACATTGGGAACTTCTACATTCGAAATGATCCGAAAACGCAAAAGCATTTCGTCGATCCATCCTCATTTAGTCTGAGGTCTGAACAATACCTACCGAATATTCACGTGCATCGAATTGTTGGTATCGATCCTGAGCCCCCCGGACCAGCAGCACCCCGGCACGTCCTCGATGGACACGCACAGCAGCTGCTCCTTCTGCAAGTTGGACCAATGGAAGGGCAGATGCGAGTCGGGCACCGCCTTCAGGCAGGCGGTCCGGCTCGCCGCTGAACCCTTGACGCAGCTCGATTGGGCGAACAGCAGCCGGTAGCAGCTTCTGTTGTACAGCTGATATCTGGGCGAGATCGTGATGATGGTGGTGGATCGGTACTTGCCACGGCCCGGTCGTACTTCGAGGCCCACGACGAAGACCGTGTCCGGTTTGCCGTCGCGCATGCTCACGTGCAGTTTGCGGTATTGGGTGCCTTTTTGCACGTGGAAGTTCGCACACCACTGGAGAAAAGGATGAGGATTCGTTAGTACGTTTTTCCACTTATGTAGTGCACTAATTCAAAGCTTTCTGAAGTTTTGTCGATTAATTAATTTTGTGACTAATCAAATATATGTCATCGCAATTTTATCTTTATCATTTCATTACTGAATGATTCAATACAAGTTCGAACAATGAACGTAACCACACTGAATTGGTGACCCCGACAAAGCAACGATCGGAGATTGCTGGCAGCGATTTTGGATAGCGCAGACGTTGGAGCTCCTTCGGAATATACTCTCGTCCTCAATACGTTATTAAAATCGTCCAGCTAACCAGCAGATGAACAATACCTTAAGGTAATAGCTTTCCTGTTTTATATTTGGATCCATACTGTATCCTGAACCCCATCCTGAATCACAAGAGTCGATTGATTTCTCAGCGAATCGACCACATATCATTATCATCTTCCATTCTACAAGAATCTGCCTAGTCAAGAAACTGAACTACCTAATTCGTCGTTTTTGATACAGCGCTTTTCATTCATTCTGATATCATATCATTTCATTGTGAGCCTCCAGTAAATTCAGAATGGTTGATTCTCCTCAAGTTCATACCGAAAACATGGATAATTTACAAGCAGAAATTCTTTTCAAAATGAGAAATATACGTCAAGATTCAACTAAATATCAACATTTAATGACCTCCCTGCGTCAGGAAGTAATTTTAACAGTTTGGGACAAAATACAGAATCCAAATTTCCAGAATTATGAACAAAATTGAATGCCAACTACAATGCAATCAAATATGAGTTGACTGAGTTGAAGTAAATGATAACAGCTCGATTGGGCGAACAGCAGCCGGTAGCAGCTTCTGTTGTACAGCTGGTATCTGGGCGAGATCGTGACGATGGTGGTGGATCGGTACTTGCCACGGCCCGGTCGTACTTCGAGGCCCACGACGAAGACCGTGTCCGGTTTACCGTCGCGCATGCTCACGTGCAGTTTGCGGTATTGGGTGCCTTTTTGCACGTGGAAGTTCGCACACCACTGGAGAAAAGGATAAGGATTCGTTATTACGTTTTTCCACTTATGTAAAGATGTTTGAAGTTTTGTCAATTAATTAATTTTGTGACTAAACAAATAAAGGTCATCGCAATTTTATCATTTCAATACTGAATGATTCAATACAAGTACGAACAATGAACGTAACCAGTCTAAATTGGTGACCCCGACAAAGCAACGATTGGAGATTGCTGGCTGTAGAACAATCATCAGCGATTTTGGATAGCGCAGACGTTGGAGCTCTTTCGGAATATACTCTCGTCCTTAATACGTTATTGAAATCGTCCAGCTAACCAGCAGATGACCAATACCTTGAGGTAATAGCTTTCCTGTTTTATATTTGGATCCATACTGAATCCTGAACCCCATCCTGAATCACAAGAGTCGATTGATTTCTCAGCGAATCGACCACATATTATCATCTTCCATTCTACAAGAATCTGCCTAGTCAAGAAACTGAACTACCTAATTCGTCGTTTTTGATACAGCGCTTTTCATTCATTCTGATATCATATCATTTTATTGTGAGCCTCCAGTAAATTCAGAATGGTTGATTCCCCTCAAGTTCATACCGAAAACATGGATAATTTTGAACAGGCGTCTTCTTCGTTAAAATCACCTACTTTCTGGAACTAATGTCCCGAGGCTTGGTCTTTACAAGCAGAAACTCTTTTCAAAATGAGAAATATACGTCAAGATTCAACTAAATATCAACATTTAACAGTTTGGGACAAAATACAGAATCCAAATTTCCAGAATTATGAACAAAATTGAATGCCAACTACAATGCAATCAAATATGAATTGACTGAGTTGAAGCAAATGATAACAGCTCGATTTCCTAGGGAGGATAGGGATAGGAGGTAAGTATTGAAATTTTTTTTGAACTTCTGGAGATAATATGTTATTGGGAATACTTCCTCAGGCAATGAATTCCAGAGACTAACCGTTCTATGGATGAAGGAGTTTTGATAAAGTGCTGCTCGACATCTTTTGAGGTTGACAACGAAAGGATGTGCTGACTGGGCTTGTCTAGTTCGTCTGACTGGTATTGCTAGTGAAGGGATGATAGCAGAGATTTCCGAAGAACATTTCCCGTGGAAGTATCGATGGTGGTAGATCGGTACTTGCCACGGCCCGGTCGTACCTCGAGGCCCACGACGACGACCGTGTCCGGTTTGCCGTCGCGCATGCTCACGTGCAGTTTGCGGTATTGGAGAAAGGTATGAGGATTCGTTAGTACGTTTTTCCACTTATTTCTATAGTCCATTCCAACTTAGAAGACATTATTGGAAACCATAAGGAAGCATTGATCCTCACTTTGATTGCCATATATTCAATACGCCAGTGTAAACACTCACGTGTTTTCGAATTCTTGGATTTTGACAATCGACTAGCACCTGAGCAATTTGAATTCTAGCAAGATGATGCCCTCGTTTATGAAGACATCAATAACGGTGAAGGTGCCGCTACAGTATTATGTGACTTTTCCAAAGACTGTTATTGCATTAACCCAGGAGTGATGCTTTGGAAATTTCAGCAATTTGAGTCTATATACATTGTTGAAATCAGTTAATCTCCAGAGCGATGAATATTAAAATCTGCGAACTGTTGATGTCCGTACTGCAGACAATTTTCCATCGTGTACTACCGGAAGCAGTTTTCTCATAGTAACATTGTAAGTATTTTTCAAGAAATTAGCATTCTTGTCTATCAATAGAGACTGATGGGGGGTTCTTGAGGTGAGGGGATCGAAGGACCATACAGGGTTGAATAGGTAGAGTCCGACCACGTTAACTTTGGGACAGCATGTGACGCAACGCATATGCATATTCAATGCATACGCGACCACGTGCTGTCCCAAAGTTATCGTGGTCGGACTCTAGACCAGATGATTCTTTCTCTATTACGTGTATTCGTCAATTCGTTATAATGAACTTGAGAACAGACAATACTAATCAAAACTGAGGATATTGACAACTTGTCAGAACTATTAGGGAATCTGTCGATGATTGTTTTTTAGTTGCTCATATGACACCTTCGTGTTCATGTTTAATACAGGACTCACCTGAGGTGTGCCGTCCCAAACGACCCTTTTCCCGACTCGGGCGTTTATGGTGGGACTGCCGTCTTGGTCAGAAAAACTGAAAAGCAACGGGGTTATCATCCGAGCTTGTTCGTGCTCCTCGAATTGCCCCGCACTTTCGAGTGACGTTCCAGACTGTCTGAAAACGAGAGGTAAACCGGTCCTGTTCAGGATCCAATAGTAAGCCGATATGGTTATCTGAAAACATATAAAATGATTTTCCCATCGGGCATTCTATCAACTGTGGACATCTTAGTGGGTTATGATTTCGAACACGTATTTTGTTGATGACATAAACACTGACATTTCAAGTATTTGATGATGGCTTACGCAGAAATTTTCACAGCACATGAGATGTTAACAGTTACTAAAACACCCGGCATTAGATGCCTTTTTTTTTGAGTCATTATAAGATTCGTAGCGAGGCATATTCTAGCGGGTGTTCAACAATGATTGAAAAACACGTGCAACCAAGAAGTAAAATCGGTCACTTGGTACTCAATCATTGTTGAAGATCCGTTATTATGATTAGACTTATATCCCAAGACGACAGAACAAATTACAATGAAACACGATCATACAATGAAAAGAGTTTTCTAATGATTATTTTCTCGTCCATGTCATCTTTCGTTATATTGGTGGCAATATATAGACAATATTTGATGAATTAAACAGAGTTTTATCGAAATGAATACATACAAATTGAACATAAAAGAATGGAAAAAATCTAGTACGACACTTCATGACTATTTAAATCCTAATGACTCTGGCGTGTTTAGTATATTTGTAGAAAAAACATTACATAACTAATTGTATCCAGTTCGCTCAGAAATAATCAGTTTTTTTACTTTATTTTTTAATGTACCTGTATTTATGCAGTTTTTGATAGTGGTAGGGAGTTTATTGAATTCAGTTATGGCTGAATGAGTGAATCATTTATGTCCGGGTATAGAGCTAGCGGCGTCAAGATAAAACAAGTTATATTGTCTAGATTCATGATTATGAATTTCAGAATTCCGTATCAAAATAATATTCGCCTTCAATTCATAATATGAAATTTTAAGAGTTTCAATTCTATATATTTCATATAAAGAATACGTATTTGTTACGATACGTGTATCAAATGGGATACGATACAGTACTTTTAACTATTTTCTATATAATGTTGATATTTTATTGAAATTATTTTCTGAACAAGATCCCCAAACCTTTGTTAAATAATTGATACGACACAGTATATGAGAGTAGAGAATCATGTTTGCAATTTTAATATCAAGTTTGGGACATCTTCTCAATGCACCAATAATTGGATATATGTTCTTTGTCAAAACATCAATATGTTTGTCCCACCTCAACCTGCCATCAAACCAAATACCAAGATATTTTATCTGGTCAGTTTGTTTCAAGAGTTCATTTTAATGTTTGCATTATCTATTCTAATATCTGAAGGTTCTCTTCAAACTATTGTGGTGGAGACTAGCAGTTGCTTTCCAGCAGTTATTAGTAATTTTGGTATTCCTTTTTCTTATTCCAGTGAATATTGAAAGTACTTCTATTTCGATTTACTTTTCAGCTGTACGATGACTATTGATTCTTTTTTTTTCAATCACTTCTTCACAGATTTTTCAGTTTTCTTGGAATATTTTCTTCTGAATATAATATATTAGGATAGTTACCATTTCTAAATTAATATTACGGTGTTGTCGATGACAAAGAGATCTGATTGGTATCCCTCCAGGCTATCATTGGGGCATAATAAATATAGTTTTAAGAGTGACATATGTTGCGTCTCCTTAGAATAATTAGTCTATGGATTAGGTAATTGACAGTGTCAGTTTGAAAGGTGTTTTGGATGTTGAAGTATGGTATTACCCTGAGTTTGGCCCCCTTGTTCGGGTACACACATCCTAATAAGTAAAGGTTCCTTTGACGGTTGTCTTCGAGTTTGATTCGACACGTGGACTCGGTGGAGCAACCGACTGGTACTACGACCGAGTTGCAGGTACGAAAGTTTTCTAATCGAAAATCCAATTCGACTACTTTTTCAGGATCCACCTATCGATCAGAGGAAATAAAGCTACTGAATATGCAACGTAATATTACAGGTTGATACTAGAGTCACTGGATGGTATTAGTTGGATAAGAGTTCGGACACAGCTGAACTTTTGTCCTCTTCTATTTTCAAAATTACAATTGAGTGAATAAACGAATATAAGACATATATTCTGCTCTTTGTCTTTTCAATTCCCCTAGTAGCGCCTGATTGTCAGATACGCTTTTGGAGGTTAGATTTTCTGTCAAATCAATCATTGTCGTAGATGGAAAATAGAAATAGGGTATAAACACCCACTTCAATTCAACATTTCAATATGACAAATAGACACATATGGATAATAAAACGTGAAGATTGTTTTGCTATTACACCTTCTGCTGCATTCACGTTATACTGATTGATTTTGAATTTCGTCGGTATTGAAAATGCCATTCAATGATATTATATCACGTTGCAATTTACTTGATTTCCTCAGTTTAGTTCTCAAATTTTCAATTTCATAACGTAGTTTTGCAATCAATTCCTCTTTCGCTATGATAATTTTCTTTGCCATTTCATCTGATGATATTTGAATTTTTTTTCAATAGTCTGATGTTTTGTAAATCTTCTGTTTGAAAATGGGCCTAAAATTATGTTTCATTCCAATCTGCTGTTATGAGACGTGAATTTCAATGTCCTTACCTCACTTATTTTGCTTGTCTTCAAGAATTATTTTCCATTCAGGCCGTTCCATACATTCCTTCTATAAAGGAATGGTTGATATTTCCTTTGGAAAATTAAAGAAATGGAATCGCCATTTCCTTCAGAATTCCCGCAATTCATGACACAGCAGGACATTTTCATTCTTGCTTTTTTCTCAATTGTTTATGAAATTATATTTCGATTCTGACGTTCATAAAATTCATTGTCAAGTTAGAACAATTTTGAATGGAAAAGTGCGGATAGACTATGGCTATATTCCGAATTCAACTGGTCAGTACTGTCAGTAGATCCACTGAATCTGCTGAAAATCTGTGTTTCGAAATATAAAATCAAAAATACAGTGCTGTAATTCGGGACACGTTCGCATGGTTTTCATCAGTAGTCAACAGCAGTTGATCAGCTGGTGAAATTTGTCATTCTGTAGTTTCTCGTTTATCTGATCTAGATATTTAATATTTAACATGTTGGAAGAGCAATCGATTCTTGTAGCCTCCATAGTTTCTACGATTATTGACGATGACGATTCAGGCTCGAGTGATAAAGAATACTTGGACATTTTGTTGCCATTAATTTCTCATGATGCACCAGATTGAGAATTGAAAGATTTATAGAAAACGTGATGGTGATGAATTTAGGAGACATTTCAGGTTTATTTAGATATTTATTTACCCAATGCTGCTTCTTCTTTCGTTACCTCTTCTTACTTCATACTCCATATCATACTCAGCGTTTATTATTTCAATAACGGGTATTTTTTGATATTGAGAATAATATAACTAACAACGGAAATAAATGCAACATTCTTTCCCCCTTTAAAATAATGACAGTTTACTGAAGCCACACTACCTTTTGATACTCAGCAATTTCAGCAGAATGTTGAGTCGAAATATTTGGAATGAATAGTAATCTGCTCACAGCATCTGTCACATTCAGTGATTTTTTCTATTTCGGAATGAAAAATCAGCAGATTCAGTACTGTCAGTTGAATTCGGAATATAGCCTATGATGCTGTTGTCACAATGCGAGGTGTGCAACTTAGTGAATCTAAACATTCAAAACCACTAACAGTTGTCATTTCTGTGTCCGAACTCTTATCTAACTGATACCATCCAGTGACTCTAGTTAATACAAAGTGATATTTCAGGTAATACAATGTTATAGTTTAGGTAATACTCACGCTAGTGATTGAAGCGATAGAGCCGGCTTTGATGCTACCTTTTTCACCTGATAGCGCATAGGAAATATCAACGGGGAGAAGATTCTCCAATTTGACAGTGGGTAACAAATGTATTCTATGAGCAGGTTGTACATATCTTGAACTAATAATACTGTGTGATATGTTTTCCCTAATAATTTCCGCGCAGAATCTGAAATATAATAAAATATCAACAGCTATTAACATTACCATTTCAATGTAGTCAGATGCAATGAATATGTAGCTCATGGGCAGTGATGACGTCTCAAGTCACTTTTGCAATATGAGCGCTAACACCATCCAACCGCGACATGTTCTTTGCATCTGTCTGTACTCAAAATTAATTGCTATTAAAAATCCATAATCATTTTCTATATTTCAGTTCATTTCAAGTAGATGATCTGAATGAATATATTTTTCGAATATTACTTTACTACTATATTTCTGTTCAACTAAAGAAATAGGCGTTGGTCTCATTGGTGTATGAATAACTATTGTATTTACCTATAATTGTGACCTTTATGTGTATGGCAGGTCGCCAACTCATACACTCGACTAGCATCGCTGTCAGCCGTCTGCGTCCAATTAATAGAAGGCATGCAGAATGTGTACTGGTGTGGTGAACCAGTTGGCCTCACGTTGATCTGCAAATAGGGTTGGGAAAATGTCACTATTGATTGAACTTTGGAAATATCACTTGAAATATTTATGGAATATTAGAAATTTAGTAAGATTGGAATTCACTTTTTTTATTTTTCTACTCGTTGCAATGCATTAGAATGTAAGTCATAGTAGACCAGCTCAGTCGTGAACATTGTTTAATTTGAATAAGAGATTCTCATAGTTCTCAAGGGGGAGCAGACAAAACGCATGATGGTATAATGGTTAACTAATGCCACAAATACAACAAGTAAGTGCCAGTTTACATCGATTATACAAAACTCTATAGTCTAGGCCCGCAGAGTACGAGAGTTGACGAGAGTTGATCGTTTTTGAAAAATCAAAAATAATCGACAGCCACGGCTACTGAAGCCACTTGATAAATTATACTTCTCAACGACTGTCGACAGCTTCTAATTAGTGACGATGGCTTTGCTCAGCCCGGCACTTGAACTCAGCAACTCGTTCAACAAAATACGGTCAAAAACATGGCCAACTCACAGTGCCAAAATACACAGACCTCCCATTCAAGCGAACCCTTTCGAAGCGAATCCTCGCTTCCCTTTCTTCGTACTCTCTCTGACCAAAGTCGTAGATAACGAAGAGTGGTACATCAACTTAATATTAAAACTTTGAACAATGATTTGTGATGGGCGTGCTACAATGAGTACTTCAATGTAGTTGAAGTAAGGACGAATCCGATGATTCGTCCCAAGATGTTTCTGCATTTGAACAGACTGAAAACGATACCACAACAACACAATGAATATTTCAACTCAATTGTATAGAATCAATGGTACGAATTTCCCAAAGTTGGTAGAACTATAAGGTTGTCTCATAGCATAGCTTGAAGGCAAGAGGGTGCGCGGAGCGGGAAACCGATTTGTGACGTAACTGTTTCCTGGTTGGTGCTCGGGTATTCTGATTTGTGATTTAGGTGATTTATTCATTCCCATTTTTTATTATATTCCTTATTTCTTGAGTATTATAATTTTAAACTACCTTCAGTATCAATTGAAAGTTATAGGTATGAGAGAAATCTCTAATACCTCCTGGTGTTGGCATTATTTTTTATGAAGCTGTGTATTGAATTAAATTATACTTCAACTTAAATGAATCACCTATAATGAAGACCCAATTCATAAATTCAATAGTCTTTTCACAGCTTTTTAGTTAAAAATTCGTAACATTTGTTCAGGGTAAATTAGTCCTGAAATTCTGCAATGTTCAAAGTGTAACAATGATTATGAAAGCAATGGAATGTACAATATGAATGCGTAGAAAACATTTTCTCTGCGGATATTGCAATTCCCACAAATGTAATCCTGGCATTTTCACTGCATTTTCGCCATTTCGACGATCGACAAGACGAGAAGGGATATAGTGACGTCAGGCCAGATATACATGTATCTTTTCGGTTGATTGGCAGAGCGTTGGGCATGTAACCCAGAGGTTGTGAGTTCGACTTTCACAGGGGGCGGTGGAGTTTTTTCATTTTCCATTGTCCCTCGAAATTAGGGCTTTCCATCTTCATCATTATATTTATCTTTTCGGTTGAGTAACCGACAAAAATTATGACTGACTCCTATGTATGATTGCCTTCGGACATTTCCGTATACAAGGAAAGACAATGCCAGAGGACGAACGGGGAAATATGTAGACAGTATAGTACCATCCTACCAGCGATGCTTCGTATAGTGCATGATTTCGAGTGACTTCGGGAATTGGAAGGATTGTGCCGCCTAGTGTGTGATGAGAACTCGACCTCCCTGCCGATTGATGGACGGATGCCCCGTTAGCTCAGTTGGCAGAGCGTTGAGCAGCCAAACAACAATATTTTGGAAAAAGAATGGACAATTCCACCAATAAATGTAAAGAGAGCTGGGCTATTATCAATAATCTCAGAGGGAAAAATAGTAAACCACCCTTAAATACTACTCTGTCTGCAGATCAAATTAACGATTATTATTGTTCTATCGCTGAAACCATTTCTATGGATATAAGAGCACAAGAGGACCCAATCTCCTACATGAAGAATTTATCTGTGAAAGACTCCTTTTTCTTCTCACCCACTAGTCCTGATGAACTGAAAGAAATATTGAAGGATTTTAAAAATAAACATACTTTTGGATGGGATGAGATCTCAGCTAATGTCTTACTCCATCTACCAGATGATGCTATGACTGTTTTAGCAGAGGCAATCAATAAATTATTTCTGAGTGGGATTTTCCCGAACTGTCTCAAGATTGCCATAATAAGTCCTTTACCTAAGGGAGGAGACTGCGACATAGTATCAAATCTGAGACCAATTTCACTTTTACCACCTCTGGCTAAGTTAGTTGAAAAATTAGTTAAAAAAAAGAATGTTCTCATTTTTGCTTCATAATCGCACTCTAAGCACCTACCAGTTCGGTTTTCAAACAGCTAAAAATACAAATGATGCTATGTTTGCTTTATTAGAGGATATATATATCAACATAAACGATGGTGACGCAGTTGCAGCAGTTTTTTGCGACCTTTCAAAAGCATTCGACTGTGTTGATCATGAAATTTTGCTTCAAAAATTAGAAATTTATGGCTTTAGAGATATTACACTAAGATGGTTCCAATCATACCTATCAGAGCGTACTCAAATAGTCTCGCTTAACAAAATAAAGTCCAGGTCTCAGTTAGTGAAGTGTGGGGTCCCTCAAGGATCTGTGCTTGGACCAATCTTATTTTTAATATATATAAATGACCTAGCAAATATCACTATTAGAGGAAAGTTTACTATGTTCGCAGATGACACCACAATACTGTGGCATAGCAACAATAATGACGAACTGAGTAACTATGTCGCTGAAGATATATTGGAAGTAAAAAATTGGTGTGATGCGAATGAGTTATCATTCAATATTTCTAAAACATGTATTTTGACGTTCAAGTGCACTCTTAATGATATACTTCTTGAAAACTCAAGAATTTGTACTCAATCCTCGGCTAAGTTTTTAGGGCTTTATGTGGATGACAGTCTCTCATTCAACACCCACATTACAAATTTATGCAGAAAATTATCTTCTGGTTGTTTTGCAGTAAGAGTCATCTCATCTGAATTGAATATATCTGCAGCAAGATCAGTTTATTTTGCCCTGATTGACTCAATTTTGAGATATGGAGTTTGTTTTTGGGAGAATAGTTCTCAATTTCTTTTGAACTCTGTGTTCATTTTACAAAAGAGGGCGGTTAGATACCTTAGTAAAGCTAAATTCAGAGAACCATATCAACCCTTATTTGTGGCTCAGAAAATACTGACATTGACTTGCATCTTCATTCTAGAGAGTGTATGTATGATCCACAAAAAATATACCACGAACATTCATTCGATGTCGGTATACAACACAAGAAATGTTGACTGTACGGTTTCCCTACTAATTCCTAGAAGTACATTAATAAAAGTCTTTTATTTATAATGCCAAAAAAATGTTTAATCACCTGCCTTCACATATTCGTTCATTGCTAACACATATTGAGTTTAGAAAGGCAGTAAAAGAGCTACTACTGAATAAAGCCTATTATACCTTGCAAGAATTTTATGAAGACGCATTTAATTAAGTTTGTCAGTTTGTATAATTCGTTTTTAATTGTTCAATACCTTTTTTATAGTGTGACTTTTACTAGTATATGTTCGACTTAAATGTTTTGTTCCTTATATATGAGCATATTTTACATGATTTTATGTAGTTTTAATATTAGTTATAGCTTATGATACACATGCTTTGTCAACAAAAACTTTAGGTTTTTAGTACAATAAAGACTTTCTTCTTCTTCTAACTCAGAGGTTGTGAGTTCGACTCTCACACGGGGCGGTGGAGTTTTTTCATTTTCCATTGTCACTCGAAATTAGGGCTTTCCATCTTCATCATTATGTTATAATTTATTCTGAACCTACCTGCGAGTGGGTGTGCACCAGCGGCAAAGCCAGCGTCGCCTTCGAGCCAATCACGAACGACCGGCTCGGCGTCCACGGATCGAAGGCGTCGCGAGGCGGCCGGCTCTCCAGCTTGACTTCCAGCGCCTGCGGCAGGTAGTTGACCAATAGCAGCGCCGAGCGGACGGTGACCAGCTTGCGAGCGGAGCCTTCCAGGGTGACGTCGAATACTATCCTGGCAGGCGGGCAGTCGATTGACTGGAACCATAGTGTTATTCAAATCTTTGCTGCAATTTATATTTTGTGAGAAATTAAGTGTTTTGAATTCATTTTCAATTATTTATAGCTTAATATTCGACGGAAGATGTTCTGTAGGAATGACATCTCTTTCAAATATTTGTGATTTTTTGGAGGTGTGTAAATCAAGAACCGTACTTTCAAACTTGTTTCGGAACATTTTGCATGGAAATGTTTCGAAGAAATACGTGCTGTAATATGAATGTGATGATAATATGATAGTTGAATACTTTGGAATGAGTATATAAGGAATATAAGGTAGGTACCATTCTTTGAGTTTATTTTCGGTCGGCAGCAAGCTCCCATCGTTTCATTGGGTATCCATTCTTGGAAAAGCAGAAAAATTCAATAATTGGAATTTCCATAACCAGAAACGAAACAAGTGGGCATTTCGAAATTATTTCATTCCATTTCAGAACTTATATGATATCTGAAGTTTGAGACATCAATCACGAAAACAAATAATAACAATGACAGTTATATCCCAGCTGACGTCATGCGCAGAACAAGACGAGTTTGAGCTTTCTGTGGAGCACATCATCTTCTCCTTCCACTATGACTGGAACGAAATCGACTAGCGAACTTTAAATAATAAGAGCTATATACAAAAGTTGAGATATCCAAGATCCAGTAAATTATAGACTAAAAGCCTTACTGAGCATATTTTCTAAAATTATTGAGAAAATTCTAAAGAAACGAATTGTGAATTCCATCAACATAAAATATAGCTTCGATATAAAAAAGTTTGGTATTCAAGAAAATAGTGGCACCCACGCGGCATTAGTACAAGTGATAGAAGCAATTTGAAAAGGAATTGATGAAGGAAATTACATAGTTACATAGGGACTCAGAGGCATTGTGAGAAATATTTTAGCTTCATATCTTGAAAATAGGACAATCCGTACCAAATCCGCTTCTGAGTCTCATAAACTGTCAATGAATAAGGGTGTTCCACAAGGATCTGTTTTAGGACCAATACTGTATCTGCTTTATCAAAATATCACGAAAGTTGGTTTAGCGAGTAATTATACCATATATGCAGACGATACAGTGCTTTTATATAAAAACAAAATCCTCTAATTTTAGAAACTGTGATAAAAACGATCTGAAATTTTTCGAAAAATGGCTCCACTCTTACCTTTTATCAATAAATACCAGAAAAACTGAATACATGATTTTTCAAAAAAAAAAAAAAATGAACAGAAAATTCAGCTCAATCTTCAAATAAAGAATGAATTCTTGAAACAAACTGAACATATAAAGTATTTAGGTATTTGGTTTGATGAAAAATTGAAGTGAGAAAAACATATTGAGGTTCTGATAAAGAAAATATCTCCTATTATTGGTGCATTGAGAAGATGTCCCAAACTCAATATGAACATTGCAAATATAGTACCCTATTCACATATACTGAGTCGAATTAACTATTTAATAAATGTTGTTCTGAAAATAATTTTAATAAAATATCAACATTATATGTATAGGAAATCATTAAAAATCATTAAAAGTACTGTATCGTCACACCAACTGAACTGTATGCCTCAACGAAAACTCCCAGATACAAAAATGTCGACAAAAGAATCGTAATCGCCGACCCCGACGAGTCTGGATTTCTCCGGCAATAAATTAATCGAAGCCTTGTCTGCATTTTTTATGATATTCTTGGGTAAATTAGTATTCATTTCCATTATTTCTATAAGACTACACAAAAAAAGCAGCAATGACATTCACTAAATCAAATGATGACAGCAATATTCAACAAACGTCAAAATATCAACAAATTCCATGACTACCATGAGAAGCAAAATGGAAAAAAAAATGCTAGGAGCAATGAACCGTTTTTCAAAATCGATTTTTCATTATAATAAGATAATTTTGTCGTGAAAAACAATCTTGTATGCATCACGAGCGTTACTAGATCCTAAGGCCCATCCAGCAGCATTCATATATTACATAGTTTAGAAGAGTGATTTTTCCTGATTTCAAAAATATATAATTATCATACGTTTCATGGAATAATACTGGGAGATTCGAAGGCATATAATTAGAGGTTAATTGAAACTTTTGTCACGAAATCATCTAATTCAACTCAAGTTGAGCTGAAACCAGGAGATTATCGTAAATATAGATTTTCAGCTGACCTGACAGCAAACTTGAATTTAATCAGATATTTTTACGCCAACAATTTCAATCAATCTGAAGTTATATTCGTTCGATTCACCCAGTATCATTCCGTGGAATGTATGGAAATTATATATTTTTGAAATCAGGAAATTTTATAGAGCTTGATCTGTCGCGAAAATGACTATGTAGTGTATTTTTAACCGATTAAATAAATTTCTTTGGTGTCCAATGCAAAGCGTTTGAATTGAAAGTGATTTGAAATTTCATGAAATATCATCGAGATAATGTGAAATAATAACCAAGAAAACACTCACTCTAGATTGGCGTTCTGATGGTGTATCTCTGAAAAATACACCTACTCTGTCAACAGCAACCGGTTGTAGGCATTGCCAACCTTCGACTTTCACTCCAAGCTGGTGCATTCTCGTTTTATGAGAATCCTGATGTCTTATTTTATCTAAAAACAACGAAAAAAAACGGAAGATCTGAAATAAATATTGTTTTAGAACATTCTTATGAAAGTGTTGATTGTCTTTGTTACGATAATAATCAATCAAATTATACAAATGATAATTGATGAAGGGGCAAGTGGAAGAAGGAGTAAGTTACGAATATGAGTTTGGGAGAAAAATAGGTTTAAGTAAAGTTAGCTGGCATTTTCTATTGAAAGCTAGTGTAATAAATCGATTTATGCAATTGAGAGGAATAGTTTTAGGTTGATTTTTCATGATTTACAACATTTTGCCATCATATAATTTTTTGATGAACATCTGGATTTATGTCAACATAACCCCTTCTTCCATTTCCAGAATTTTTTTTTCAATGTTCTAGTTTTCACGAAAAGGGATATCCTGTAATGTTCAGAAAACATCGTGAAAACCAAAGGAAATAAGGTAGGAATTGGTGTTCTTATATTTCTGGAGGTTACATGCCTCGGGGAACACCTCCCTTGGCAATGTGTTCCAGAGCCTCGCTGTGCGTTGGATGAACGAGTCTTTGGAAAAATATGTTCTGCAGGACTCCAAAGTGACCACGAAGGGGTGTTCCAGAGAAGTGAGTGAGTTTGTGAGCGAGGCATCACCCACGAGACGAATTACTTTTTTTTGGACAGAATCCAACAGTTTCAGGGTATGTTTGGGTGCTGAATTCCAAATATGGGAACAGTATTCCCGGACAGGTCGGATCTGTGCCTTATAGATCATAAGCAGTTGACTGGAAGTGAAATAGCTCCTGGCCCGAAACAGAAAACCAAGTTTTTGGGATGCACTTTTAACAACTGATCTCACGTGATTTTCCCAAGAAATGGCGCAAATACCTGAAGCCACTTCACAGGACATTCCAACAAACGCACCTAATACAATAATCCACTAAACTCTTCAGTGTTATTACCTCTGGATGTGAAAGAAAACGGCACAGTTTCCCCAGGACAAACGATGACCCAGTTTTCATACGATTCGGAAACCACTGTCGACTTGGAGCTATCCATAGCTGTCACTAATGTCGTGAAATGCAAAGTAGAGCCGGTATCGTTTTTGAGCGCGTAAGGCACAAACGGCGATCTCCTTCGGATGTTGTCCACACTGGACGAGCCGACGTCATTCGGCCTCACGTTGTAATAGTCTTTCATCCAGTTGTCCTTCACTTGTTGGTAGAGATCGATGACAGTTGAGGTTACGTTGATATCGAGAGTATCATCAGATTCGACTTTGACACTGAGCTTGTTTTTCCAATGTACCTGGGAAATGTTCTTTTCCCAACTTATTTTACATCTGAAATGATGAGATTATACTGTTTTGGTGTCTATACAATTGATGACTTTGATGGAATGAAAACATTAGAAAAGTGTAGATTAGGGAGATTATGATGGAACTTTTTTTCTTAAATTAATTTTGAGAATCTGTTGTTCCAAAGGATGCACACATTGTGCTGATGAAAATAATAGCTATTCATATTTATGGTCACTATAATGTAGAGTGTGACTATTATACAGGGTGTCCGGAGATAAAACCGACAAGACTCGTGGGGTTATAGGGACTGTCAATATGATTGCAAAATGCCATAAACCAATGTCCAAAACCGCTTCGTTATTGACATACAGAGTGATTTGTGGATTTTGACAAAAAATTCAATCCGCCATATCAAATACAGGGATTAACCGATTAGATTCAAATTTGGTACACGAATTACACTGAAAAGCATCAACAAGTAGCCCTTTGATCGAAACCAATATCAGGAACCGAATGATATTTTTCCCCTATGTTGAGTTATTGTGAGAATAACTCACCCTGTATAATAATAACAAAAAATTTCAACTCAGATTCGACATCTACGGTAAAAATTGTATAGGAATTTGTTGAAAAATCTCTTGGCACTATCTTAGTTATTCCGTAATTAATTATTATTTCACTTTTTTCTTCCAAAATTCAATTATTGTCGGATAAAGTACTATCAAAATTGGTAATATAATAAATAATAACGAAACCATGACATGAATATCGTTATTTTCTTCAATCAGTCCGTAAATCGTAGTAAAATAAAATACTCTCATTACCCGAAAAAACTGAAAAATAAATTCGTATCAGGACTGGAATGCGGTTTTCTTTGATTATATTTCTGTAAGAATAGATGATCTAGTATAACAATGATCTGATCGCAGATTCGAAATGCACTGAGAAAAGTTATAAAAAATGATCGAATTGAACTTTCAAATAATAAATCCGTATCAGTACCTTATAATGTTTGTGTATAAAGAATACTAGGCTTGTGTCAAATTCAGAATTTCATTATGGAAAACCATTGTTCAGCTGTCATCAGCGTTTGTTTTATTGGTGTTCATTCATTATTCCAGTGTTTTTAGGATCAAACTATAGTTCTGAGAGTGTGCTTATGATGCCGTTTCATTTCACTTATGAGGAATACGCAGATATTCTATTTGTGTTTGGGCTTCAACTGGTGATGTTTACCTAAATTTCCTGGTCAATACTTGACCGGATCTATTGCAAGGTGTAAATACCTGAGGTATATGGTTTCAGCATGATGGTGCTGGACCTCACTTTTCAGTTCCAGTTAGAAACCATCTCGATGCCAATTACCCCAATAGATGGATTGGCCGTGGAGGTTCAGTGAATTGGCCACCGCTATCCCCTGATCTAACTCAGCTAGATTATTTTTTATGAGGTCATTTAAAGTAACAAGTTCATAATGAAAAATTTTTTTATTGGAAATAACAACTGCATGTGTTAGTGTTAGAAATAACCCTCAAATAATTCGCAAGTCAGTGAATCATCTAATAGCACGCTCTCAAAAATGTATTGATGTTGGAGGGCTCTACTTCGAAAATGTTTTGTAATACTGGGCAGTGAAAGTTTTTCACGAATTCGTTGCTTTTGTTATGTTCATTACAAACAGTTATTGTTCGTTGTGTAGTATTCTCATAAATTCAAATTCATCAGTGAGCGAATATAATTTACGAAAACTTCACTGTAATCCTTCTTTAACAGGTTCTCATACGATTTTTTCAGATTCCGAATCTACGATCAGATTATTTATAACTATTGATGTACTAGGTCACCTAACCTGACCAAAAAAAACACTCATTCCAGTCCTGATACGAATTTATTCTTCAGTTTTTTCGGGTTATGGGAATATTTCATTTTACTCCGATTAATGAACTGATCGAAGAAAATAACGACATTCATGTCATGGTTTCGTGAATATACGTACTTTATCCGACAATGATTGATTTTTCAATGAAAGAAATCAAAATAATAATTAATTACGGAATAACTAAGATGGTGCCAGAAGATTTTTCAACAAATTCCTATACAATTTTCACCGTAGATTACGAATCTGAGTTGAAATTTTTGGTTATTATGATACAGGGTGAGTTATCCTAACAATAACTCAACATAGGGGAAAAATATTATTCCGGTCCTGATATTGGTTTCGATCAAAGGGCTACTTGTTGATGCTTTTCAGTGTAATTCGTGTACCAAATTTGAATCCAATCGGCTAATCCCTGTATTTTATATGGCGGATTGAATGTATTGTCAAAATCCACAAATCACTCTGTATCTCAGAACCAAAGCCGTTTTGGACATTCGTTTATGGCATTTTGCAATCATATTGACAGTCCCTATAACCCCATGAGTTTTGTCGGTTTTATCTCCGGACACCCTGTATATGATTTATGGATGGCAGAAAGAAGTAAGCGCATTGATAATCACTATCAACACCCTTAAAAATATTGTACATGGGAACTGTCAAAGAAAATAACTTACTTCCACGGTTCTAGTATGGGTTCCCAACCAGACAGAACCCTGTTGTAGTAATCACTTGCTAAATAACCGTCAATGAATCCCTGTGGTGGTGAATAATCAATCGAGTTCAACTTCGACAAAAACTGCTTGAAGTTGAATTCAGTCAAAGACAATTCCAATAGAGGAACATCTGAGTCTCCACAATCGTCAATGACACAAACAGAAATCCGATTACCTTTAACCTAGAACGCAACAACCAGGTAGAAATAACATGAAATATTTTGGGGAATATGACTAATCACCTCGATTGCTTTAATGCCAGAAGTAATCTTCAATTTTGCCACATTGTTATCCGATGGTTTAGCATTCATTGTAAGCCAAATTGCTGCATCGTCAATTCTATTTCCACATTTCTCTATAGCTTTGAGACAATCTTCAGTTTGGAATCCCAAAACAGTCAAAGCTGCAATCTGCTCTGAAAAAAACCGATACTATTTTGTACTGTTAATAATCATTAATCAGAAATTATTTATTTATACTGCTAAAACAATGGGCTTTAAGCCCAATAGGCGAATGGATTTTTTTTATTTCTTAAATAGATTCATCACTCAAATACCTTTCAATTTCATATTTTTTAAGAATTGTTTCTACGAGCGTGCGCAAAATAGTACTCTCCTCTACACATTTGGGTGCGCAAAGTAAAAACAAACAAAAAATTTAAGTACTTCGTATAATGAAAAATAATATTGTCGAACAACAATAAGTGAACTTGACAACTTTGACATGATGTCAGATTTTTCCTCGCTTTCTGTCAGCAAGAATATACAAACACCGACACTTTTCATCCTATTAGAGGCAGCAAACTCTGCAAGTTTGAAATTACTGCCCGCTAAATCTTAACAACTATACTTTGCGTCGTTCGCCTAACTGTTTTAACGTGCGGAAAAGTAAGACTTTGCGCACTTGTTAGGAAAATAACGATTTTGGTATTTTTTTAGGTGTTAAAATCATCAATGATGCCACGGTAATTTTCAAACGGCTAGAAATTTACCGCCAGTAAGACCTGACACTACGATTTCGGCAGCAGGGACCCCCCATAGCACAGTTGCCATGTGTTAAAATACGATTGGGAGCTTCAGAAATATTACTTATTCAATAATTCATAATTGTTAATTGAGTATTGGTAATATTCCTAACTTGCAATAGAAATTCAATTATCTCAAACTGTTCCTACATGTATGTGGCTTATTGCTTAAAATAAATTTGTGTAAATAATAATTTCATTAATTCACACTAGAGGTCATTCGAACCGGTGAACGTGACGACACGGCGCACGAATTGTGGGCGTGGTCTTGTCAATTCTCAGCATTCAGCACAATGTTGCCAAGTCTTCAACATTTACATGATATTTTGTTATGGAGTATAACAAATATTTGGACATGCTGGTTGCTCAAAAAAGTCAAAAATGAACTATAATATCATGGGTTCCTCCTATTATGTTTTATTCCACGACATGACTCTTTGATAACAACTTGATTATAATTGGTGACTTGACAACCTTGCTTCATGAGTGGAAATGAAAGATTATCTGACCAATAACGAAACAGCTTGAAACCTGACGTCATCGAACAACGCATAGACTGATTATTTACATAAAAAAGCGTGAGAAGTGTTGCAAAAATTGATTTAGGTTCGACACAGTGGAGTAGTTGAATGCCAATAATTCAAAAAAATCAAGATATAATGAGTACAAATTTCTAATTGAATGTAATAATGAAGTCATCAAATATTCAAATTATATCAAGTTTCTTGGGCTGTACATAGATGAACATTTGTCATGGTCAAAACATATTGAAATACTCGGCAAAAAAATATCTCCAATAATAGGTATACTTTTTAGGGTACGGAATCAAGTTCCTATAAAATGTCTCAAATCTATATACTTCTCTTTGATCTATTCCAAACTTGAATATTTGATTTCTGTATGGGGTTCAACAAAACTATCAATTATAAAGTCTCTCAAAACTCTTCAAAATAAAATTATCAAATGTATATACAGACTAAATTATTCGGAACCTACTATGAACCTTTACAGAAGAAGAGAGTTATTAGATATAGATTCACTATATAAATTCAAATTAATGTCGTTCATTCATTCAGTTAAACATTGTCAAAAGCATTCAAATTTGGTTTTCCAAATCGATAATATAAAAAATTGCAGAAATACAATAAAATTCAAATACCATCTTAAAAAATTTATCATTTCTGAACGAAATAGATGACTTGTTTTTTTTTTCCAACTCTTGATTCATATTCAAATTGATTTTTGCTCACCAATATGAAATGATTTGTCAAAATTTAATAATTGATGTTTTCAAATATTTTATTATTCATCAGTTTATTATAATTGTATAGTTTTAGGTATTATTGTTAACTATACTTCCTTATACCAGAACTTGATTCTGACTGGAAGTAACATTTTCAATAAATAAATAAATGAATAAATAAATAAATAGTAATCACCACAACCATACAACCAGACAAGCAGATCATTTTTCTGCCAAGAAAATTAAATCAGATATTGGTAAAAAATCCATCTATCACAATGGAATGATACAATACAATTCACTACCAAATAACTTGAAGCTGATTAATAGGATTGAAAAATTTAAAAGATAATTCAAGAAACATCTACTCCTGTAATATTGACATCTTATCTCATTTTTATAGTTTTCTTGTACAACTACTATAGTTTTCAATTGGGTACCTAACAGCTGAGTCAATTGAGAATCATTGTCATTTGAACTTGAAAAAAAAAAGATTCTTTTTGAGTGTGAGTCTTATTTTACTGTCTTCTTTATTTCCTTTTGTCAAATATATTTATGTATTCACTATGTTCCCTGCTATAAACAAATGTTGTTTCTTGGGAATAATAAAGTTGATTGATTGATTGATTATCAGTCCACTCGCCAATTAGAGAATAGCAGTTTTATCACATACAGTACACACTTAAAATTACTAATTGAGAGATTAAAATATGATTGAGTTGAATAAAAATGATCTGTAAAAATTTCCGTTATTCAACTACCTGTGGAGACCAAACATTTTTTGATTCACGTTTTAGGATAATCGATCCGATTCTCTAAGAAGTGTTTAACAGGGTGGCTAAATTAGTAACTTTGTTATTGAAAACTTTTTTCCAACCACCCCAGGTTTTCCACTATTGATATTTGGTATTTTACACAAACAACATTCATCAATGTGGTTAGTTTTTAACATTACCACTCAGTGGTATAAATAAAGCTGTGAAGTTAGTCATTCATCTACTATTTCATTGATTATTGCCATATTTCTACCTTTTTAACGTCAATTTAACCTACCAATTGATATACTCTACAAGCACTTGGTTGAGACATTGCTACATTAGACTTAGTCCCCATGATGACAGGATCTTCGCGTGCAAGTAAATGTAAAGCAGCAAGTATCTGAAATACTAGGCATTAGTTATTAGTGTTCCCTAGGTATATATATACTGATATATTACAAAAACCCAACTGATATTAACTTTTACATGTATTAGGATAAAAGAAGCCAACCGTCTTCCATCTGTGGTTCTATTAATGGTATCAAAACCTCTGAAACCAATAGTTTTGGCATGTGATAAAATTTCCGAGATTTAAGGATGGACTTGTTGAATCCCTCGAAATTCTATTGATTGATGCTATCCTTCTAGTGAAAAAGGTAATTATTTTGTTTTCACAAATAATTAGTTAGATATTCCATACTTTCTTGCCGTAGAATTACCTCTTGTGCAACATCTACCACTCGATCTAGCATTGACAGAAAACAGATGAACAACATTTCCTTGAAATAGTGCCACATTTTTTTATTAAAAACCTTAGTCACTCCACAACTCATCAGAAAAAGCTGGTGGATATCTGGCACTATTAAAAGTGGAAAAAACCTGACATGACTTAGTGAATCGGACCGAATATCTCAATGGAAGTGGATCCAAATCAGGAACTTGAATGATTTGAATAATCTAAATACCTTGAATCTGTAGTGTTTGAACACTTTCAGTACTGGAAAACAGCTGTTTTGGTAAAGAATTCAGTATTTGTGTGAACAAGCACACATCGTGATATGACAACCTAACAACGAGTAGCAAAAACTGAACCTAAAAGATCAAAACATGATAAGTTTGACAATTGGTTACATGAAGGAACAATGATCACCTACCTCCAAAGTATTGTCTTTGTTCATCTCTAGACTCAATGTGACAGGATCTATTATTGACAGAGCAGTTTCATCTTCCATTCCCAACATGCAGGAAAACATTTCACAATTGTTTAAACTACAAGACAAAGGTTTTTCAGTGTTATGAGGCCGATACTTCAGAACTGTTGTACTCTAAAAAAATCGAATACAATTTGACTTATCTGGGTATCCCAGGATCAATTAAATAGCAGGAATCTGCCAATCAATAGAGGTGCTCATTATAAAATAAACAACGCCTATTACACAAGTACTAGATAGTAATTATTTAAACGTGAAAACTTCCAGTGGTTATCAACATTTTCAAAATTTTGTTCGAACTTTCATCTATTGATTGACAAAGTACTGCTATTTGAACCTGGATATCCTGAATGATAATCTGGTAGCAGACCTTTAGTATGACAGCATTCGTGTGCCACTGTGATGAATCTTGAACCACCACTATCTCAGAGTCTGTTATATTCAATTTCAAGTCGAACTGGACACTTTCATCTACACTCTCCGAAGCGGATGAAATTTTGTTTTCATAGGGCTTGTTTTCTATGTTTTGGAATATGTAGTCCCTCATTGATTCCCACCAATCGAAAATAGCCATCAATCGTATATCGTTAAGAAGCACAGTGACTTTGTGATATTCTTGCCTCTTTCTACTGTGGACTTCAGCCTGCACTAGGTCTTTATCAGTCGACAGTTTCATGGGTTGTAAAATGTTGGTGAATACGTTTTGGTGGTTAGTAGTTTGGACCCCACTGAAACGACTGTCTGATATAAGTATCTCACGTGATACTAGATCAATATCTTGGCAGAAATTACTGTAGTTCTCTACTGTTAAATGTGATTTTATGAAGTTGATTTGGGCAAGCGGTGAAATTTCGATATGGGATTTGACGAGAGATAGAGTCACATTCTGCATGTCCAATCTTATGGATGATAATTTCCAGTCATCATTCATGTCAGTCTGAAAATCAAATGCATTATCAATTTTCGAATAGTAGGAAAAATACTCCAAGTCGTCTCCACAACGTTCAATATCAAATGGGGAGGGGACATGTTTCGGATCTATAGAGTATCCATCACCAGGCGACAGAGATGATTCTACAATGAACAAAGCAATTTCAAAGGTTAAACATGGTAGTACTCACGTGGAGAAGAAAAAGGCAAATTGGAATCACATTGGAAATTACAAAAATAAGTATATTATGGACTGTTAATGTATTATGGAAGATTTCCTGAAATGGGGCCCTGTACCCCAATTGGCAAATAAAAAAGCCACATTAGGAAGCCGAAAAACAACAGAATATACAAGATATCCAAAAAATTCATAATTTTGCTAATGTCACTCTCATGTAAATGATTTTTCTTGCTTTTAACTCCAACGTAAGATTATCTCTTTCAAAATTCTCCTAACATTGTTAACCTTCGGATATATTCTTATCAACTTTATATAGTAAGTAACCCTAGAAACATTGTTAAACTTCAAATTTGATGAAAGTATTTTTGCAATTGTCAAGGTATTATCTTTTTCAAATTTATATAACATTGTTCATGATCTATTCTATCAAATACCAAACCATAGGATGATAAATCCTAATTATAGATATCTGAGTATATTATATTATATTTTCAAATTTATATAACATTGTTCATGATCTATTCTATCAAATACCAAACCATAGGATGATAAATCCTAATTATAGATATCTGAGTATATTATATTATATTAAATTCATCAGCATTTATTTTATTTCTATGTATTTCTATGTTTGTTTTTTATTTATCTCTATTTGTACTCATTATTCATGAATAACTGTTATTATTATTATTTTCTTATTTTCTATATTCTGAGTTCCTCATTCACAAGTTGGTCAACATTTTCATAGGACTGCATCACCATTGACAGCTGACTTTATTGATGTTGTCTGTCGGTAGTAGGTATGACATTGATATTGGGTCACCTGTTAATCCAGTGACATTATCAAAATGATGAATTTTTTGTCAAATCGCTGAAACGACAACACTGCACGAAAATTGTGATCGACGCAAAGTCTGCAAGAGAGGGAACAGTGGTACAGTTGAATAGTCAACTGGTTGAAGGAAATAGTTCAAATGCATTGAAAATCCTGCATGGCCGCATTTTTTTTCTACATATGTAGAATAACTGTTCACATGATACAACACACAACTTCAGCAAAACTGAGTGCTCCAGTTTTCCGATGGAATTCCAAACCTGTCACCAGTTTTACCAATGGAATACAAAATATGCACTCAGTGCGAGCCAGTTTTACCAATGGAATTCGATATTAGATCTGTTGTAGTTGTCATTGAAGTAGATAAAATATCACATCAATTTTAATCATTTTGATGGTGATTGTGTAACATCATTATTCGATTATTTGATGAATTAGTTGTAGATTGGTATTTGCCAGTAGTTGTTATTCGATTATGTGACTCTAGTTTTCCACTTACCTGTGCACTATTACTTTTCGAAGAAACAGACGGATAAATCTTCTCAGTATCCTCTCCCAAATTGAAGGCCAACAAACCTCTAATCAGTCTGTACTGTTTCAGATCCAGAGTGCCATCTATGGTAGACAAATTGCCGTAAATGCTCAAATCCGGCACAACGTGGCACTCTTTTTTGTGCAAATTCTGTTCGACCTGTATACGAAACCGGAACTTTTTCGTGAGGAGCGAACGGCCATCTTTCACTACTACGATGGTTCCGAGTTTGAGTCGTTCAGAGGAAAGGGCTAGTCTTTTAGAAGACCTCGGTCGAGTTTCCTTGATCCCCGCATACAAATCCATGTTTTCCAGCTGGATGTTCATGACGTCGAGCAGACATTTTCTGTCGGAATTGTTTGATATCATGCTGATGGTGCCTCCGTCTCCGGAAAACTTGAACTTGTTGGTGACCAAAAGCTGTCCGAGATCCACGACAAGTAAATCCGGGGAATCTGAACTCACCGGCAGTAGGATCATAGGCGAGTGAGCTTCTAGTACTAGAGAGAGTCGTAGAGGTTCATCCCTCATCTGAAAATGTAAACCGTCTCATAATCTCATATATATATTGATTGATTTGAATGATTGTCTTTATTACCCCAAGAAACATTTCTGTTTATGATAGGGATACATGAATACATATATAAAAATAATAATAAAGGGTTAACTAATGAATTCCACTCAGTGGAAACGAATTGATATTGTTTCTTAAGATTAGAGTTATATTTCATTTCTAAGTAATCAAATCATGCCACATATTTTTCATTCAAATTGTCCTGAATAAGTATTTTTCAAGATTGATTTTGAACCTTCTTGCATCATGTATATTTTTCAACTCATTCGGCAATGAATTGTATAAAATTATTCCATTGTGAGAGACAGATTGTTTGCCAATTTTCGACTTAAATGTATTTGCTATCAAGTAATTCAATTGTCTAGTCCCATAATTATGGATTGTATTGACTTCATTAAGAGCTAAATTTGATATTTTCAATTTATTCCTTGCAAAATGTGTAAAGCAACATATTTCAAGTTGATATATCCAAATCAGGTTCAGGAAATGTCTAGATTGTATTTTATCGTTGGTTCTATTGCAGACGAAAAATGCACTTAATTGATTTGTTTTGTAATGTCATTAGTGTTTTTAGACGTGAAATATTTGTACTCCGCCACTGGTTCGAAAAAGACCTACAGGGTGATTATTATACCATCCACAAAAAAATAAAATGACGAAATTTAGGCCTGGAAAATGAAGAACATGTGAAAGAAAATGTCATTCTTACTTTAAATCGTGAAAGTCATGCGTTGCGAAATATTTATCTTCAAATAAATGTATTTGTTGCAGAAATTTCGCATTTTCTTAAAACGTATCGTATGTGTGAAAGTGTGAGAAATTTGGGATATTTCATTTCCCATGTTTGTTTATGACCTTTGAATTTTCCCTCTAACAGTTTACAAAAACCATATACAGGATGAACTTTTTGATATAAATTGAACTAGCTGAATTTTTCAAGAACGGTCCAAGATTTTTCTAATTCTAAATAAATCAGTCCATTAGAGAGTAGTAGCAGGATATCCCATGCGGAAATCAGACAAATCGAAGAAGCTGTTGGAAAGTTATGACCAAAATATGTTTTTGCCAAATCCAATAATTCACCCTATATATTAGTGAAGAGGAGCAGCCACTTTCTGATTGTCATTAGGTATTCCCCCCAGGTGCCTCTATTCGTGGTTGGAATATGTACAGTTCCTCATGACTCACCCTGTATAACGTCCCATTGATAAAACTTAAGTCCGTGGATGGTATTAGTTAGATAAGAGTTCGGACACAGCTGAACTTCTGTCCTTTTCTATTTTAGGAATTACAATGCTTGAGTGAATGAAAAAATAAGACATAAATTCTGCTCTTTGTCTTTTCAATTTCCGTAATAGGTCGCGTGCATGATGACGGACCCTGGAGGTAAAATATTGAAAAACAACCTCAATTTTCTGTTAAACATTGAAACACAACCTCACTTTTTCTATTTGTTTACAGAGGAATCAAATGATTGAAATAGTTTTTCACAATATTTTGGCATGCGAATCGTGTTTCTTCCGCTATTCATTGATTCAACCATGCCTTCTCATTGTGTTATTGTACAAAAAACACAAAAAAGCAGCGAGAGACGAAGGAATGTGATTTTTCTTTCTCATATACTCAGTCGCATTAACTATTTGATAATGTTTGGGGATACTGTTTTAAAAATATCTGCATGATATAAAACGTGATTGAAAGTACTGTATTGTTTACTATGTTATGTCTATTATATAAAATAGTAATTTTATTTTAACAATCAAGAAACTATAAAATTGTTGATCACTAAACTAAACAAAATTACTTATTTCACCTTGATGTTGCCAACTATTCAATAGGACAAAAAATATTCACCCACGCTTCTCTATTTGATATAAGTTACGTAATAACATAAACAATTGCCGCAACATAATCAAAGTCAAATATGAACTCAAAAATCGAAATAGATGACTTTTATGTCTTCTTTCAACTTATAAAATACATATTGAAGTTTGGCTTTGTTCACCAATATAAGATGAATTTGTCTGGTAACTACTTCCTTACACCAGAACTTGTTTCTGACAGGAAGTTACATTTTTAATAAAAATAAATAAATTGATGAAATTGATCTGAACAGGATAAAGTGTATTAATTGTATTGACTAAACTAATTATTATTACCTGTTGACCACTCGTAGCAGCTTGAATCCCTTTAACAACCATCTGTTGACGTTCGGTAAAGTTATTAAAAAATGCTAGAATTTCTGCTATAAATCTTTTTGTGTGAACATATATCACAGATGCCATATCCAAAGTCAACTGAGCATCATAATTTTTCCTAATGTCTGGTGGATGCCTGTAATATTGTGGAAAGACATTTGTGTCAACATCTAGAATGAATCAAGGTTATAAAGAAACATGCAAACTATTTCTATTCCCAAATACCAGTGAAAGATCTGAAACCAATCTCTTATATTTTTTTATATTTCTTCAATCTAATACTATTGTTCTATTTCAAGATATCATTGAAAAAAAAAACAATTCTGATATACCAAAATTATTGACAAAAAAATAAAACAGTGAACAGATAACAGTGGAGACTTTACAAGAAAAGTGAATTTTGGAATTTCACTCAGACAACTTGACTCTTATATTGAATAAAACATAGTTATGATATTATCTCACCTTACGTATCGAAACTGGAGTACCTTCCTCCCTGAAGTCATGAACCTTTCTTTATACAGCTGACCATCCAATGTTAAATCTTGCAATGACATGGATCCCAATTTCCCATCGACTTCTTTGAAAATTCCTGTCGACTTTATTTCGATTTCAACATTCGAAATATTCGCTTTAGCAATGTCACGATTCGGTTCTATCAAAACTACGGTTAACGACCTCACCGTAATGTTCGTTATTTCTTTTTCCCTACTGGGTGGCACTACAGGCTCATCAGAACTAGAATCCATGTTTTTTGGTGCAGGTTCATCGGGTTTCGATGAGATATTGAAAAAATCTAGAACAACCACCCAAGATTTAACGCTGATAACCAAATCCAGACAGTTGAAGTCGACAGATATCGACTTATGACAGCCACCATAGTGTTCTTGAAAGTTCGGTGCATCTTTATCCGCCAGTAAGATGCTTATCAGAACTAAATTTTTCTCCGGGACATTTCTCTGTCCCAGAGGACTAGGTGGCGGTGTACAAGGATAATCTTCATTTTTATTCACAGGAGTATACGTAGAATTGTTCATAGCTTCCATGCCGAATATCTCGGCAGCTTCTAAATGATCTGGCAACGATCCGTGCGCCGAACTTCTCAAATACTGAGTGTAGGTAACGTCAGGACATGACCTTGAAACACCTGTCGAAGAAGGAGGACCATCGATATCCGTCGACGAAATCACCATTGCCCGCTGTTTACTTCCAACAGGTTGGAGCAGATCTACCATCAGGATGGAACGCAACGAAATCTGGATGTTGGTTTCGTACCTGTGACATTTATCGTAGTTGAAAGCGAAATCACGGAAAGAAAGATCCACTAAACCTCTATCACCGACTGAAGAATGTCCTCGAAGTTCAATCGAGAATACTGGAATATCGAAGAACACTCTTATTTCATACGAATTGTTTTGCCGTTGGTTCTTCAAGTGAGAGCTGAACGTAGGAAAAAGCTTAGCACGTACGTGCGGGTCCATGTTCAGAGTCGTCACTCCAGTATCGTCTTCATTAATATCCGCTAGAGCATTGGGTAGCTTCAGATGGGCCCTAGAGATGCCTTGTAAATCACTCAGCTGAGGCGAAGAAGTGAACCATTGGATGGTGTCTATGATCTGTTCGTACTGTAATCTAGTCAAAGATAATTTGAGAGCTGTTACAATACTTCCAGTCACTTGAATTGATCTTCCACAGTTGTAGTAGTTGTTTATGTCATTGTCAACTTCGTCTAGAACTAAGCTAGCCTCGCTGTTGTGCCTGGTAGACAGCAACTTAGTTATTTCCCTTTCAACCTTCAATTTCAATTTTGTATCGTGTAATATGGGTGTAGCCTCCGATGTGCAATCATACAGGATATCAGGTCTAGGAATAGCACTGCTGCCTGCCGGTACCCTTCTCGAGCTCGTATCAACTGAACAAATGTTCATTTCTCTGATTTCTATAACGTAGCTTTCTGACCTATGTTCACTATATTCACCATTATTGATGTTTGTTTTCATCTCGTCCGTGTAAGTGTTAGTGATGTTTATTTTTCCCAAATGGCCCACAAAAACTTCAGAGCTGGAGTTCGAACGTGGCAAGACAACTACCGGACTGGCAAACTCAATGTCCAACTTCACGTTCAAAATCAGATCATCTAGATCCGCTGGGCTATGAGGTGTTTGTGGAAATGTATCTTTTGCGGAAGCATAGCCAGATGGTTCGTTCGAGCTGTAGCGTCTTCTTCTCTTCTTGCTAGGTGAGGTGCTTTCTGAGAAAGACAACGCACTGCTATAGATCGAGTTAGGCAGTTTTTTGCTCATGTTCAAGGTCTCAGCTAGAGCTTCTGCTCTAGCATGAACCAGTCCTAGAGCCATATCAGTTGCAGCCGACTTTATCGACCTTGCCAAGTTTGAAAGGTACTGTTTGAACTCGTTGGCGCAAGACTGCAGTTCTGCAATGAAGTACGGCGAATGGGTGTACCACAATGAAGCCATGCGTATCATTATCACAGCTGTGTCTTTGCCTTCATCGATCTTTTCCAAGTCCCTGACGATGTTGAATTTGAAGGCCGTTTCTTCCTCATCACCTGAAGACGATATCAGGCGGAGGGTGTGTATTGGTTCTAAGAGAGGGTCGTAACCCACGCTGACTATTCTCTGATGCAGTTGTCCCTCTGGCGTCAAATCGAGCACTTGTAAACCACCTAAGGACCCACCCATTTCTATTTTTGAGCCGACTGTAGCTTTTATTTTGGCTTTGCTCATAGTCGCCGTGCAGATTTTCTTTCCGTGAAGGTTCCCATCTCTTATTTCGCCTCTCAGCAAGAGGACATTCAGGCGGTGGAAATCAAAGGTGATCTCGGTAGATCCAATATCTGTATTTGATGGTTCTTCTAGCAGTGATTCGGTGGATTCCTGAACTACCAGTGATGCTTTTGGGAATAGCTTGTAAGATTCTGGTTTCTGGGATTTTGGGAAAACTCTTCTGATGAAACCTATGAGTTCGACTATTGTTTCCTGGTTAGCTGAAACGATAATAATGAGTGTTCAGATCTAACCAGTAAGAATATGCAGATTCTGAGAAAGACATATCAGTTCTATTGGAGATTATGAGAACCTGATATTGAGGACAAACTCAATGGATTTAGGCCTTTAGGCCAACAAGAGACATCTCCAATCCTTCTCCTACCTGATCTGCCACAGATTTTGCTAGGGTTCACCCTTTTTACTTTTTGATTGGCCATTTGGAGCCAACCAGATTGGGAAATCCCAATGAAAAATTCGATCTCGAATCTGTTCGCATTTTTCCTCAGACTCCTGATCTAGATTTTTTTCATGTTCTGGTTCCCACGAAAAGGGATATCCTGTAATGTTCAGAGAACATCGTGAGAACCAAGGGAAATAAGGTAGGAGTTGGTGTTCTTCTTGAATTTCTGGAGGTTATATGCCTCAAGGAACACTTCCCGTGGCAATGTGTTCCAGAGCCTCGCTGTTCGTTGGATGAACGAGTCTTTGGAAAGAGATGTTCTGCAGGTCTCCAAAATGACCACGAAGGGGTGCGAAGCCTCAACTCGACGAGTTAATCTCGCGGAGACTGCCAAGCGAGGAACAGTTGTTCATATTTCAGAAGAGCATCGTCCATGAAAATCTCTATAGAGCCAGGTCACCAACTTTTCTACGGTGTTCCAGAGAAGTAAGTGAGTTTGTGAGCGAGGCATTACCCACGAGACGAATTGCCCTTTTTTGGACAGAATCCAACAGTTTCAGGGTATGTTTGGGTGCTGCACTCCAAATATGGCAACAGTATTCCAGGACAGGTCGGATTTGTGCCTTATAGATCATAAGCAGCTGACTGGAAGTGAAATAGCTCCTGGCCCGAAACAGAAAACCAAGTTTTTGGGATGCACTTTTAGCAATTGATTTCACTTGATTTTCCCAAGGAAGGTTATTGCTGATAGTAATACCAAGCATCGACATGGATGTCTTCAAAGGTATGGTTACTCCTGACAAGCTTATGTTGGGCACAGTGAGATCGAATTTTCTAGAGAAAAGGCATGCTTGTGTTTGCATTGAAATCTACCAAGTTATTGGATCCCTATTCGAGAATTGTTGCCAAGTCCATATTTATGTTGTCCACATTTCTCCCTCGTTCGTTAGAGAAGGCGGTATGGAGATTACTATCATCCGCGAAGCTGTGTACTGGACATGGAGTTGCTTCGAACAAATCGTTGATATGGAGTAGAAATAGTGTTGGTGCTAGAATTGTTCCTTGCGGAACACCAGCATTTATGATAAGAGAGTCAGATGAAACTCCGTCGACCACTTCATGGAAAGACCTGTTTGAGATAAAACTAGCTAGCAGAGAACATAGCTGGGGAGGCAAGACGTAAGATGGAAGCTTGGCGAGGAGTCCGTGGTGCCATGCTCGATCGAATGCCTTGGAGATATCAAGTGCCTATATTACAAATTTGTGGAAAATATGTTGAACGTTAAAGAAAGGAGTCAATATCTCAGTTGAATAGGAGGGAATTTCTAAACTCTATAGCTGCAATCACTCAACTTTACTAAAGAAAAATCGAATGTGGATGTTTTGGATCAATAATAAGAACACTAAGGACTGAGGTAGTTAATGATCTCATTTTCGAAAGATTATTACAAATTTCATGTCACGGTATAAGTAATTTATCGGAAACAGTGAAATAAAGTTCGAATTTTGAAATTGTCATTGCATGCGCATGCATCGTTACAACTTCCGCCTTAGTGAAGGATGAGAATATTTTTTATCGTTCACAATGGTGGCGTGTTTTTGCGTTTATACTAAAATTGTTCTAGCAGTCCATATGACTAAAGCGATAGCTCTGGATCGTTCAAACGTTTTTCCCTCATTGAACAGCCTTATGAAGAGACCAGTTTGAAAAATTGAACACTGAATGAAGCAAGTTTTCGATTTTCAATAATTTCACGTCATCTGCGATCTCCTCCGAATGGATTAACCATGTTTTCTCGGTTTTGTTCTGTTCTGACACTACTACTACTTAACTTACCAATAATATCCAAATTATTGAACTGTATATTGGCAATCTGGATCGGCTCCGGCCCGCTCTTCAGCACCACCTCCACCGAAATCAGCGCCTCCGTATCCGTCCCCGCCTCCTTTTGCATCGCCTCGAAAGGCGACGTTGCCAGCGTGCTCAACGCCTGTCGTCAAAATATACTTTATTAATTGATTGTCTATATTGCCCCAGAAAACATAGTTGCTTATATGTGGATACATAAGTAATATACACAAGTTATACACACAAGTACGGAAAACTATGAAAATCAATAAAACAAGAAACTTATCCATTTTAAGTATTTCAATAAGCAATGGCATTATCAAAGTCTCTGAAGCAGATATTTTTTCAAGTTGAATTTGAATGTAGTTGCTTCCTGTATATTTGTCAATTTATTTGTAAAATCTACATTTGTCATCAATTATCAATTACATGTATACATATTATATCTCTCTGTGTGTGAAGGGGAAGACTTATTTCACTGATGAAATTGTTCTTCCACAATATAAATACTTAAACTGAAAATAAATAATCAATTTACACAATAATTAGAATAAATTAAAATAAAGAAAAATAGAGTTAATTAAAGAAGATCATCGTTTTTTTTGTTTGTATACTTCATATGAATCAGATAATGTTTAGTCAAAGAAGATTTTGTAATAGGTAAACAAAGCATTTGGTATTGCCTGGTATTCAATGATTTCTAGGACTGTATACAACTGTTTTTTTTTTATGAAACGAATATTTATATTGAGAAAAGAAGATACTACATTTTGTGTTGAACTTGAACTAACGAATTTCTGCTTTCCATAACCAACTATTCCACAAGGACAAGGAAAATGATCAAAATCCTGCAGATTTTTCTGGTAGGAAAATGTCTGTCCCTGAACCAGTACTTAATGTTAATGAACAAAGTAATAGTGTTTTCCTGAAAGTTTTACCTGTCAATTTAAGAGGTCCAAATAAAGAAATAAGTACGTATGCATTCTGATTCTTTGATGAAAGTGCAAGTATTTCTCTCATAGATGCTGAATTAGCAGAAGAATTAGAATTGTCAGGAAAATCTGCACCTGTCTGTTATCAATGGACCAATAATATTACTCATCAAGATCTACAGTCGAGAAAAGTATCTGGAAATATCAGCGACATCTTCTGGAGCTAGAACCTTTGACTACACGGTGTTCGAACAATTAAGGACATGATGTTACCCAAACAAACTTTGGAGGAAGAGAATGTTTCCCCAAGTCAACTCGACATGGTTGGATCATATCATGAGATACAACCCATGCTTCTGATTGGTCAAGATTATGGTAAGTTAGCAGTTTCAAAGAAATCGGTAGAGCTCTCGATGAATGGTCCAATATTGTCCAAAACGGCCTTAGGATGGGTAATTTATGGCAAATCAGTTCACCAAATCCCAAATAACAATAATCACTTTGTGTACCACTTATGCAATGTGCATGAACATGAAATGGATCTGCATGGTAAATGTTGAAGATATATTTAAAAAGTCAGAAGAACTGAGAATAATATTTCATTATGAACAGTGATATTTATAGATAGCATCATCGGCACAATCGATATCAAGATCACCTGTGTCAACGCCAGCGGTGACGTGGCCCCGCCCTGCCGCCCCACCCCCGGATCAGGGCTGGCGGGCGAAGTGGGCGACGTCGGCTCGCTGTCCAGCATGCTGCCCGACACAGAGTCCATGCCGACGTGCTTGTGGCTGGCGACGAGCAGCTCGAAGTCGCCGCCGAAGGTCTGCAGAGCGTCGACGAGGAGCAAGCTGTGGACGGTGAGCGCCACGCTCAGCTCCATGGCGCATTTCGTTACTGCCACCTTGACGCCGGACACTTGCAGTTCCGATATACTCCTGCCTGGGAGAGAGAGAGAGAGGGAGGGTTTCAATCATATCCGCAAATAAAATAAATGACTCTGTAATTAAGAAAGTTAAAGAATATAAATATCTAGTTATATCGAAGACTGGAACCTTTGGCACGATAATACACTACACTGTTTTACCACTAACCAAACCGATTTTTTGAACGCCTCGACACGTGTTTCGCTAACTATGTTAGCATCTTCAAATGCATCTTCAGATGCATGCTAACATAGTTAGCGAAACACGTGTCGAGGCGTTAAAAAAATCGGTTTGGTTAGTGGTAAAACAGTGTAGTGTATAAATATCTAGGACTGATAATATCTGAAAATTTACTATGGGATGTGCATGTAAACAGTTTTGTTGAAAAAGTGGCTCCAATGCTAGGAGCAATAAGAAGGTGTAATCATATGCTCAACAAAAATTCGAGATATCTTTTATACAATAGGTTTATTGAACCTCATTTGAGATATTTGGTCCCATGTTATGGAAATGCCAGTGTGGATATAATGAATAAACTACAAAGACTGCAAAACAAATCGATAAAGACCATATTCTCTAGAAACTATCTTACACCAAGTGACATATTGTATAAAGACTATCCATTCCTGAAAGTTGAACAACTGAAAAATCTTGAGCAGGCTAAACTTATACAGGGTGTTATTTAAGTACGTGGCCAAACTTGAAGGGGTGATTCTTTGGGTGATTCTAAGACGAAAAGTTCATATAAACATAGGTCTGGAAATGCTTCGTTTTCAAGATACAGGGTGTCAAAATTGTTAAAAGAAATCGTTTTTTTCGTAAATATCTTAATAACCCTTCAACTGATTTCATTGAAATTTGGCAGTGTTATTCAAGGTCGTAAAGGGCTAATTTAACCCTAACTATATCAAAATTATCATGTCCAGTGGCGTCCCGGAAGGCACTGTAACCAATATTTTTCACAGAAAAAATGTTCGCCACTGATTTTTTTGCAATTTTTGTATTTGTTTCACATTGAGCAACTAAAATTACAACTTTTCCATATCTAGATTTTTTTTCGTATCTTGCTTTGTTTTTGAGAAAAAACATGAAAATCACTTCATTGCCCATCCCTGTGACAACACAATAAAACATTTCAACTACCAAACCATCAAAAACTGGGGTCTTACTAATATTTTTGATATAGTTAGGGGTAAATTAGCCCTTTACGACCTTGAATAACACTGCCAAATTTCAATAAAATCGGTTGAAGGGTTATTAAGATATTTACGAAAAAAACGATTTCTTTTAAAAATTTTGACACCCTGTATCTTGAAAATGAAGCATTTCCGGACCTATGTTTATATGAACTTTTCGTCTTAGAATCACTCAAAGAATCACCCCTTCAAGTTTGGCCACGTACTTAAATAACACCCTGTATATAAAATCAAGAATAAACTTATGAAAAAAGTGTAGAACTGAAGCAAACTAAAGACTATCACAGCTATAACTTGAGATCAACTGATATGTACAGAAACAAACTATTACGAACAAAAAAAGATCAAAATTCTCCTATTTATCAAAGCATAAAAATGTATAATCTTATTCCAAAAACTGTATTTGAAGGAAGTGAGAAGGTAGTATAACATAACCTCACGAAGTATTATAGAAGTAGAAACAGTGTAGATGATTTAGATTTAGATTTAGAATGGGGCCTTCGGGCTATCTGCCTCCACACCGCGACCTTTTCAGATCTATTGTGTCTGCCCTCAAAATCGATTAGAGTTCTTCGGCTAGCCCCGTCTTCTCTATGAGACTCCATAGGCTAGCTTTCAGATCCCCTGTGTATCTCTGGGCTTCTGGTTTTTCCTCACCCAGCGTAAGGAACCTTAGTCTTGACAAGCCCTCACAGTGGCAAAGTATGTGTACTGCTGTTTCCTCCTCTTCCTGACAGAACCTGCACAGCAGTTCTTCAGTCAGACCTATCGTACTCATGTGTTTGTTGAGCCTACAATGCCCTGTGAGAAGTCCCACTAGTATTCTAGTTGAACTTCGTTTCTGGCTTAGTAGATATTCTGTGAATGTTGGCGATGGTTTTTTAATAAACTCTTTTGCCTGTCTCATTCCTGGCGATTTGTTCCACCATTCTTGAGATTTGGTTTGCATCCATGATTTGATACTAGTCTTTTGTATAGCTTTCGCAATACCACAGAAGGGTTCTGGGCCATTCAGAGCTTTGTTTGCTCCTGCTCGGGCAAGTGAGTCTGCCTCTTCATTGCCCTCGTACCCTGTATGTGCTGGTACCCATGCTAGAGTCAGTCTGTTCTGACTGCCCAGTGCATTTAGGGTTTCTAAGCAGTCCCATACTAGTTTTGAGTTAACTTGCATAGAGTTGACTGCTTTGATTGCCGCCTGGCTATCTGAATAGATTGCAATGGTTTCGCCTTTAAACTCTTGCCTTATCAATTCTTTCACGCAATGATGTATTGCAATAATTTCTGCCTGAAACACCGTCGCGTATTTACCTAAGCTCAGTGAGATTCTTGTCTTTGGCTTGGCCCCATAAATACCGGCTCCTGATCCAAACTCAGTTTTGGAGCCGTCCGTATAGACAGCAATGTCTGCATTGATAGGAGGTCCTTCCTTCCATGCCTCTCTGTCCGTTATACTTATTTTAAAAGTTTTTTCAAAGCTATATTTTGGAATTATGCCATCCGTTGGCATTCCCATGATGGGGTCGCTTTCCAACTCTTCATATAGCTTTCTATAGTCTTTACCGTGCGCGTTGCTTATGGGTGCTTGACCCCTTGACAATCTACTCACGACTGCTCTGGCTTCGCCTTGAATATATATTTGTAGTGGTGGTAGGTTCAAGAGGACCTCTAAAGCGGCTGTTGGAGTGGTTTTCATTGCACCAGTGGCACTCAGGCAAGCTTGCCTTTGAATAGCACTGAGCCTTCGAATCACTCCAGCCTGTTGTGTCTTTGGCCACCAAACTACTGACCCATATGCTATCATAGGCCTGATGACGCTGGCATAGAGCCATGTGGTCATTTTTGGTTGCAGTCCCCAATTTTTCCCGCACATTCGTCTGCACAGATTGAAGGCTACTGTACTTTTTTGAACAATTTTTTGTAGGTGTTGATTCCATGTTAACTTATGGTCAAAGATGACTCCTAAGTATTTTGCCTCTAGGGCGAACGGAATTTCTACCCCGTTGAGTACTGGTGACTTTAATCCTTCCAGTACTCTCTTTTTCGTGAAATTCACTATAGTGGTTTTATGAGGGTTCACGGTGAGTTCCTCCTCTTTACACCAATTGTCAATTATGTTTAGAGCGATTTGTGTGAGCTCCGAGACCGTACTTGCGAATCTACCTCTAGCGATAACCGCCAGGTCGTCGGCATATCCTAAGCAATAATACCCTTTGGATGTTAGCCTTTTGATCAGTTCGTCCATTAGAATGGCCCATAGTAGGGGTGATAATACTCCTCCCTGTGGGCATCCCCTATCTGCTCTAGCTGTCAGAGTTGTCTCGCCAATTGTGGATATGATAACCCTATTTTTCAAATTGACATTGTAGATGAGTAGGCACATATTGAATTTGAAGTGTTAAGGATTTTAGTTTTAGAAACATTGTTATCTACTATTCTGTTGTATTTAGGCCTTGTTGCCAGATCTTTATTATCTGATTTGAGGTCAGAAATAAATTCTTTGAAACATATATATATATATATATACCGGGTGTCAACGAATGTATTAGACAAGTCATAACTTCTAGACCATTAGGTGTATCAAAATGAGATTTGGTATAGGTAAATGGTATGTGAAGAGGAGAGTTTTCACATATTTTTCACTTCCCGGTCACTTCCGGTTTCACCGGAGATGGCTCCGGTTTTAATTTTTTAAATGGAACACCCTGTATATTGTAACATTCTTGGATTTCTGAGACAATTCCAGATCAGAATGTGACATTTTCGAAAATTTTTGTGCTTACTTAATATTTTCGGAGTCACTTTTGAAATTACATCTAGGTGGCCATGATCGGAAGTAAACTAATCTAAGGACCTCAGGTGATATCAGAAAATTACAATCGCGAAGTTTTAGTGACAAGTATGATAGATATGAATAAGACAAGTTGGCAAAATTACATTTTCGTGTCTAACTATTATTTTTCAAATGGCGACCATTTTTTGACAAGCACTTTCCGAAAAACGGATATTTTGAGGAATCTAACGATACTAATTTATTCGCGATTGGATCACAAATAAGAACATAAATTGAATATTACTGATGAAAATACTTCATAATAATGTATTTACTTTTGTCAAGTGTGCCATGGATGATAATTCATTTACTTGTAAGCACTTCCCGAAAAACTGTTATTTTGAGGAATCAAACGATACTAATCTATTTTCGATTGGATCAACAAATTTAACAAAATTAACAATAACTTCAGCGAAGAACTTACATTTTTTTCAATTTACTAATTTCATAAAAATTGTAACTATAGTAAATTTTCAGTTCATTCCTCCTTGTTCAAGACACATTTAATATTTAATTCATGTTCTTATTTGTAATCCAATCGCAAATAAATTAGTATCGTTAGATTCGTCAAAATATTCTTTTTTCGGAAAGTGCTTGTCCAAAAATGGTCGCCATTTGAAAAATAATAGTTAGACACGGAAATTTAATTTTGCCAACTTTTCTTATTCATATCTATCATACTTGTCACTAAAACTTCGCGATTGTAATTTTCTGATATCACCTGAGGTCCTTAGATTAGTTTACTTCCGATCATGGCCACCTAGATGTAATTTCAAAAGTGACTCCGAAAAAAATAAGTAGGCATAAAAACTTTCGAAAATGTCACATTCTGATCTAGAATTGTCTCAGAAATCCAAAAATGTTACAATATAAAGCGTGTTCCATTTAAAAATTTAGATTCGGAGCCATTTCCGGTGAAACCGGAAGTGACCAGGAAGTGAAAAATATGTGAAAACTCTCCTCTTCACCTACCATTTACCTATACCAAATCTCATTTTGATACACCTAATGGTCTAGAAGTTATGACTTGTCTAATAAATTCGTTGACACCAGGTATGTACTATTTCTATATATGGCCCATCGCCATGGAACCAAAATGAGAGACCAAAATGAGAGATATTTTCTGAGTCTATAAGGACGGAAAGTGAAGGATGGAAAATTTGAAATAAGTAGCCATATTGTCTTATTATTTTTTCCCTACGTCGGCATCAACGCCTATTGGTCGATTTCGTTACCTATAGAGACAGAAGTTGGTCCCGCTTTGAGGACAGCGATGATTCATATATTAGTAGTAGATATATGGTTTCAATGAATATCAGATGCGTTCAAAATATTGACTTATAAAACCAGTACCGGATTTACGCACAGGCAGGAAAAACATAAATCACAAATAAATGCAATGGAAATGAGATTTCTCAGAAAAATTAACAACAAAACATGAAGAGACAGAATCGGAAATCAAACATACAGATAAAATGTATACCTGAGAAATGTTACAAGTTTATAGCTGACATGATTACTAATCTAGTAGGTTGTAGTACGATGTAGGTTCAATCAGCAGCAATTAAATTCGGTTTAATCATCATCTTCCTCATACCAGAACTTGTTCTGACTGGAAGATATGTTTGATTAATAAATAATAAATGAATCATACGTTTGAAACGAAGTTTATACAATGTCTAAGTGAATAACTGAAATTTATACCTGCATTTGGGTTTGATAATAACTTCATGTAGTAAAAAAAATTACATGGTACTAGACACGAGAGTAGTTGTTTCCTATACTTAGAGGAACCTGTGAAGAGAGAACTGTTTCTATAGTGAAACAACGATAAAAATGTTTTGTTGATAAAATAATTGATACAAATAAAGTGTCATCTGGAGAAGTATGTAATAATTCTTATTCACATCCAGAGATTCGTTATATTTTTATACAATAATCTCTTTAAAAATCCTACCTCTGCTCTGTATCTCCAAAGACATCTGGTCAACCGTGAACTGCATTATAATGAGCCTAGACAGCTCGGAATTCGAATCCAAACACACGGATTCCTCATCCTGCCCCGTGTCAATGTCATTCTCAGCAACGTCAGGCGCCGTTTTCAAAGGGGACGGCAGCCCAGTAACAGTAATGAGATGAAACAGATTCCTCGCAGTAGCAATCTTATTTTCGTTGATGTGAACGAACAGTTTGGGAAGATTGGCATTGACCGTGAGACTGGGGAAGTGTGGATCCGAAGTGTACACTACTCTCCTCTCTACTTGGAGAGATATGCTGAATCTGTCGAGCAAGTGGAGGTTGGAGAAGCCCCGGCTCAGGGCGTACCTCCAGTTGTCTTTGGCTTTGCCCAGCAGGATTTGCATGTCGGTGAGTTCCAGGGAGTAGCAGTCGTAGAGTTTGTTGTGAATGTTCGATTCGTTGATGGGGAAGTCTTGTTCGCCGTTTTTGACGATTTCTATGTCGCTTTCTTCGCTAACGGGGGGTGTTGAGCAAGGGGTTAGGAACATTTCTGAAATGATATATCCTCGAAATTATTTATACTGAAGAGATGATCCATCCTCATGAGAGCAATTAATGTTTCTTCTAGAACAATTTTTCCAGTAGCCAGATCGTTCTGGCGGTGCTAACCCCTAGCCAGACAGACACACAGTGCTTTCGTAAAGTACTGAATAAAATAATGTACAGGGTGGCCAACTAAGACTCCAGAGTTCGATTTCTCTGTTGTCTTGAGAGATACAAAAAAATTCATGAATCAAAATTGAAGTAATAACCAAGCTTCACATTTCAAAATTACTTTGAAATACACAGGGTGTTCCGTAAGGTCACAGCACATCAAAGCTATGTTTTTTTCATTGGAACACCCTATATTTTATTTTATTTTTGAATTCTCCCTGAAGATCTGATTTCAACGACCTATCATACTCAGGGTCTAGCAGTGAAAGTTACTGACATATAGGGTGTGCAAAATCGAGATTTTCCAAGTTCAGGATTATTTTCTGTCGAAACTGTTCATTATTCGTCAAAACGGTTTACATGTCCCTATCTCAACTTTTCACTCACTATCAATTGGTGTTCAATTGAAATTGATACAAGGTGGTCAAAAAATCTAAATTTATAATTTGTTTCAATTAAATGTCAATTGAACACCAATTGATAGTGAGTGAAGAGTTGAGATAGGGACATGTAAACCGTTTTGACGAATAATGAACAGTTTCGACAGAAAAAAATCCTGAAATTGGAAAATCTCGATTTTGCACACCCTATATGTCAGTAACTTTCACTGCTAGACCCTAAGTATGATACGTCGTTGAAATCAGATCTTCAGGGAGAATTCAAAAATGAAATAAAATATAGGGTGTTCCAATGAAAAAAACATAGCTTTGATGTGCTGTGACCTTACGGAACACCCTGTGTATTTCAAAGAAATTTTGAGATGTGAAGCTCGGTTATCACTTTAATTTGAATGCAAAACTTTTTTTTGTACCTCAAGACAACAGAGGTATCGAACTCTGAATTTTTAGTTGGCCACCCTGTACAGACAAACTATCAATTTCTGAAGTATACCTTGAAATAAGTCGACTTTAAATTTCAATTTGCCACATTCATACGGGAAAATTGAATATACAGGGTGATCCACGTTGGAATTATCATGTCTGCATCAATTAAAACATATTATCAATTGTTCAACTTATATAAAACAAAGGTCTGGCGTTCATGGGATCTTGCTCTATATCAAATGAGATATCTAATGATAACTTCAGATTCTTACTTTTAGGTAATGAAGGATTTTAACTGAATGAGGATTAACCTTTTTTGTTTCACTAACTGACTTGAGGTCTATGGACCCATAACGAATTTCCCCAAATAATGCTAGATGTGAATAAATACAAAAACTCAAGATATGGTTTTTCTTGGGCAGCATGGGTTTATTCATTGCCAATATAAAAGTTATCATGTAACTTTTAGATTAACAGAGATGTCCTATCTTCTATTCGCGAGATTCACGGAGTGGGCGACATCTGAGTTACATAATACGAACTTCAAACTGGGGGAAAACAAACTGTTGTCTATGGATAAAGTGCATAGACTACATTGCATACATGTTGCTGTAGCTGTAGTTGTCAAACTGGTCAATGACATAAAGTGTTATCACTCTTATCAGTACATAGTACACAAGCTAATGGCACTAACTAACCTGGTAACATTGATTCCCGCGAATAGTGATAATAGGACAAATGAAACAAAAGAAGCATAATTTGTTGGAAAAAGCATATTTGCTCCCATTATATCGAATGGTTTTGGGAATCAACAAGCTATAAATCTCAAAAATGTTATTTAATGTACAACTAGAGCTTCACAAGTTCTACTCAATAGATTTTGAAAATGATTCAAGTAAAAAGGAATAATGTTGCCTCTTTATCAAAAACATTATATTTTACTTACCGAGATCTTCACTTTCCTTCCTCAACGGTTCTACTTTCTCGGACTCAACATTCCCTATGTTGTTCTTCAGCTGGAATTTACCGAAATCTATCACAGCCATTGCAGAATTTTGATCAGTGAATTGTTCTACGAATATAATTTGCGGTGCCGTTATGTCCAAGTCCAAGTCCCATGATGTCCTAGTAACCTACATATAATAAAAACATTGATGACGACACTGATAACCACAGATACACAAAAGTCTGAAAAGTTTCTGGATAAGTTTGAAGGAATCTGTTAGTGTTGAGACTGTGGACTGATTCATTTGTGAGACATATCAATTTCAATGTGATGAAAATGACATTTATTTATTATACAGAAGTGTTCAAATAAAGCTCTTCAGATTTTGTGTTGAGATTATTCTTTTGTTAAAATGTTTGAAAGGTCTTCAACTTACGATTCTTCCTTCTAGGATATGCTCCCAATTTTTGATAAACTCTTTCTTAGTTCTATTTTTCATAGCCTCTATTTGAGATTGTGTGATGTCTCGTTGGTGAGGCAAACAAATGAATTCCGTCACCCATTTTAGCACATTTGGTTGGTATACTACATCTAAACACTTAGATTTAACACTTAACCTGAAAATTTGCAATAAGATTGTATTCTGTCGAAAGATATACATATTTAGTTATTGATGAGTTTTAAGTTTTCATCATGTATAAATCACAAGTTTTATATAGATCTGGATAATCAACATCTTATGTAGTATAAAACCCAGCACACTAAACTGTAATCACATTTGGATGTTATAAAAACTGTTCTTTGGGGAAAGTTTCTCTTTCCTCCCTTGGCAATCGACAATTAGGCAATCCAATGAATGACCTGTCAAACTATGCGATGGTTGGCGCACAATGAAATTACTTATGTGTGAAAATTCGTTTTCAATCGCGAATTCCTGTCGGTATCAGAAGTACAAGTCATATGATCGAAGAAAATCACAAACAGTAACTATTTAATTGTTCTAGTAACATACCAGGCGCCATATTGATTCCAACCTGAGTTGGATTGCCTAATTCAAGGAAAATTTATGACCATATTTCATAGTCACGCCGCGTTAACATGTCAGCTTATAACTATAGCAGAAAGCTTGGATAAAACGGGTGCATTGTTCAATTGAGAATGTTGGAAAAGTGGCAGTGACCGTACGTTTGGTTGAATTTCAGGTGTACATCCTCTTTCAACCACCAGGACAGAGTTATGGCGAAACCATCTCGAATTCTTGGAATTCCTTCCTTCACATGAAAGCAAACAAAATAGCCAACCCAGAATACTTATTAGGCCAATTGATTTGTGTTTTCTCAATCTGCTGAGCTTGAACTTGTTGTGAACTAGGATTGATGATTGTGTTTTGTGACAACTGATAACTGGGGACTTTTATCAGTTGAGACTGGCTACACTGGTACCCGGGAAAATAACGGACACTTAACCTAGAAACGGCGGATGATTGTACATGTACTTGTTCCTCAGAAACCTATTAAATTATAGTCTTAAAAGAACCTTTGTGTTTTATTGTTGTACACAATAGAACGAACTCGAAGCCCGGGAAGGGTAGAAGGACCATCTGACAGCTGTCCTAGTGCAACTGATGAGGCTTGGTAAGCCGAAACAGTCTGTCTTGCATCAGCTGACAAATAAATTCACGAAATTCCTCTAGATTCTCTTAGTCATGAGATTCTAGGTTTCTTACCTGCTGAGCTTGATTTGTTTCTGTGACTACTATTGAACATCAGTGTTGACAGAAGTAGAGTTCAGAATAGGTTTGTTCCGTGTCCCTAATTGTTGAAACGGTCCTGAACTGCGCAGAATCAGGTGCGCATCAAATTCAATCCGAAACAAGTCTGGGATAATTTTGAAACCAGATAAACGAGAACGGCGTTTTCCCGTTTACTCATCTTCTCGAAAATATGCTGTGTCTTGACTCACGTGAATCGAAGGCATATTTAGGTTAGGTTTATATTGATGTTTGGGGATTTCTAGCAAATTACATGTTCAGAAACGTCTGTTATCATCTGAACTGGAAGATAGGACGATGAGTTAAAGCTCATATGCCCAATGTTCATGATCTTGATTGATATTTTTCAATAATTCCATTCTACATCTTGTTTAAAAGTGTATCCCGTCAACATAAGAACGCTAAGAGGTTAAATATCTGTTGCATAAACGGATGCGCATCTAAAATTATCCATGACAGTCATGGGCAGTTCTGCTTTGGACCGACTCGAAACTATCCCAAACTAGTTCATATAAAAGGAAAACACGTGATCTGTGGAATAAGAAACAGTCCCGAGAAAACACGAACACTTCGTTGTCACTGTGCATGCTTCTGAAGAATTTGGACTGTTAATTTTGTGAACCTACCAACAAGATTACAGTTCAGCACCAGTTTCAAGTCATAAAATTTTGTTTTGTCATTGGCCAAGTTCAATGGGTAATCTTTGTAGTTTGAATCGCCAATACGAGATAAAAGAGAATCACATTATGAATGTTATATCATCCAGAAGAACAGCTGAACAAACAAAAACGGTGGATGCTTACCTATAATCACAGCCTGAATTTGGTGGTTTCTTTTCATACGCCAAATAAAACAGGTTATCTCCGATGTCTCCCATCCCGCTTCTATTGACCCCGGTGACGCTGACGCGCGGACTGGAAACTCGGTTCCAGGGATGGGACGTCCTGTCCAGCCCTGGCGGCCCCACCAGAATGGGGAACATGCTGCTGGGCGTTATTTTGTCTCTCAGATACACTGCTCCCAACGATATCTCGACCGAATGGGCATTTGATCGCGGCTTGCTCAGGATGCTCAGCGAGAGGTTTTTGTACTCCAATTCCAGCATAGGCACACTGAAATTTTATTTTATATTGATCATTCCGAGTATAAATAGTATTTGATGCAATCTTTCCTTATTTGAAATCATCATACTTTTTCAATTATTGACATGGGCACCTTTGAAAAACGCACCAATTTGTTGATATATTCCTTTTTAATACTCAACAATTTATGAGAGCATAGCCACATATTTCGACGCTGCCAAATTCATAACTTGTAGTTGCCTCATGAGATTCTATATGACCAATGGCAACAGTTTTCACATCCATAGAAGATGACGGACCTGGTCCCTAATAATCACTTATTCAAAACTTATATTTCTTGAGAGATGGTTCAATTAATTATGGATATTTTATTCAAATCCAAACGCTTTTATGACCCTTTCAATAGCATAATGCTTCGAGTTCACAGAAATATCAAGAAAAGGAGAACTCTAACCTAACCTTTACTTCATCTGTCACCTTCATCTTCAATCAGTTAGTCTACTCTAACAGTTCAGAAACTTAATTTCATATTCTGATAAAAATTACAATCAGAAATATTCTTGCACTTGTTGTTTCATCCCAATTGTTTGTGTTTGATATTAATATTCTAGTATTATTAATAATAATAATAATGAATCCATTGAGTTTAATCAATATATCATCAAACCGTGTGTAGAAGTCCAGAGTGCTCAAAGTGGAGTGGTGGTAATTGAAGGAAGGAAAATCTCCAAGTCATCACCACGATTTTTAATGACAAAGTGATAAAATTGGGGGTGGGGCATGTTTCGGCCTATCATAAAATGTTGTTCAACAGAGGGTCGTGTACCTTCTGTACAATTCCTGTATATGATTTCCCCTTTTTATAATTTTTAAATTTTATTATTACAAGCAATGTAACATTTTTCCATCCATGCTTTTTAAAATATTTGGCTCATGATAGGCCCGAAACATGCCCCACCCTCAATTGTAACACTTTGCCATCAAAAGCCGTGGAGATGACTTGGAGATTTTCCTTCTTCCAATAAATCATCATTTGAAATAAATCTATGAATCGATATATATAATATTGTTCATCCGTGCTTCATGGGTTGCCTATGGTGTGGTACCAATAATGCGCATGTCTGAGAAGGTTGGTGGAATAGACCACACGGACAAAGAAGACATGATTCATCGTGAGCACGAGAGACCGGCATCTTTCGTAGTGTTCTTGCTAAACTATCATTGGTTACTTTTGTTCAACATTTTTTCGCTAGTGCTACAAGTCGTGTATCAATCGACGTCTAGTGATGAAGCCATAAAAATATACATTCGAGGAAAGAGGAGCTGAAATGTAGGCATCTACATCGGACGAGAACATCCAGGTTCAACATACATACGATATAGTTCACTCCGGTGAGGCTACTAATATCCAACCTTCCCTCGTAATTCGTTCGTTCGTTACTACTAGGGTCCCTTGATGTAAATTGACGTATTTGTCATCTTAACAGGGTACGGACAGATCATAGCTGCATTCTTTTTTAATGATCTAGAGACTTCAGTTTTGTCTACTGGCATCCCTGACATTGCTGTCACGTCACATTCATGGGCGCTACAGAAAATCATTCAAAATTTTAATAATAGGTATGTACAGGGTATTTACTTGTTGAGGAAGATCATAATATATGGCGAACTTAGTCGACTTTAGGAGAAGTAGAGAATGAATAGTAGTTTAAAAAAACTGAAGAGATAGATTGCCAAACTGAAAAGGAGTGAAAAATGAATAGTATTTTGAAAAACATGGAAAAACTAAAGAAACATGCTTTTATGGACAGCCGAACTAAAAAGAAGTAGAAAATGAAATAAATGAAGTGTGCTGGTAAATATTTAACTAAAAGAATATTTTCTAGAAATATTTTGCATAGCAAAACAACGTTTGCCAAGTCAGCTAGTAATCTAGTAATTATATTTATTATTCGTTCCCAATAAAATTTGTAAATTGTTGAAAAAAGAAAATATATACAGTGTCAGATGATTTCTGAATGTTGATGATTATAAAGTTCAAGAAAATAAAAAGATTTTACGATTGAATAAGTTATATACATAGTGTGATGTAAGTCACTCCATAAATTCTTCTCCGAGTTGGATTTCCGAAAATATATTTAGCACACATAACATGAGTACAGTAGTTTAGATACCCGAGGTTTCCACCATTTCTCAGTCATAAGGCTCAGCTCATTCAGCTTTTAGATAAACTGCTGCTCAGCTTGACATCAGAATTCAATCAGTCAATTCAGTCAACCCTGGTATACAGTCTAAGAACAGTATCTTTTGGTGGAGTATATAAAGCTTTCAGTACAATTTATATGTTTCCTACCTAGCAAAGATTCTGCTCGAGTAGTAAACTCCAAAACTAGAGTATTGTTCATCTACATCTTGGTATAGTTGAATCTGGAATTCCATATGGAAATTCCGTATGATACGCCAATGACCTCAATATAACATAAAAAACAACAAATGTCAAAAATCTAGTGTTTATCCCCAGAATTGAATAAGGATGGAACTATATAACTGTTTCACAAACACTTTAGAGTGAGAGGAGACGAGGATCTGTCCGTACCCTGTCTAGATGACTTTAACGTCAATTTCCATCAAGGGACCCTAGTTACTGTAGTGTTTATAGTTAGCTAATGATAAAATAAATGACGAGGTTTTGTTAGATAGTTATGGCGATAGATAAATAAAGGAGATTGACAAACAAGTTTAATATTATTATCAAAATAATATTGGGATAAAAGACTAACAAACATAACAGAACATTATATTTTGGCGACGAGATGTCGAAGAATCCCCAGTGAAACATATCGTCGATATAGAAAACAGGCCATATCCAAGAAATATTGAGAACAAAAACTGACAACAAGGTTTGACAAGAGCTGTCGTCAATTAATCAACGCAAGTATTTTTTTTTTCGTGAACAGAATAAAAATGGAACTATTTGGAAACATTGAGGCTTTCAATGTAGTGTCCAATATGGAGAATGTTGGAATAAGATGGCAGAGGTGGATCAAAAGGTTCGACAATTTCCTAACAGCGTCAGGCGTCGCCGAGGATGCACGGAAAGAAGCTATGCTTTTACATTGTATAGGTGAAGAAACATTCGAAATATTTTGTTCCCTTCCTGAACCCACTATAGTAGCAGATGATCCTGGTCCTTCAAAATATGAGAAAGCAAAAATGAAACTGAATAATCATTTCATTTCTAAAGTTAACGAAGAATTTGAAATATTCAATTTTCGACAAGCGAAACAAATGTCTGGCGAATCAATTGAAGAATATTATGCAAGATTGTTAAAACTGAGCATTAATTGTAATTTCGTGGACAAAAACAAGGAGGTAAAATCTCAAATCATTCAACATACAGTATCATCTAAACTCAGACGCTATGCAATGAAAGAGAATCCTACATTGAATCAGCTTCTCACCCAGGCAAAGTTATTTGAAGTAACAGAAACACAGGTTAAACAAATGGAACGCAGGGAAGTAGAAACAGTTTCTAGAATAAAACATGAAAAAGCCAAATATTTTGAACAAAGCAGAAATGAACATTATAAAAACAAGAACGGAATACAAAAAAAATCAACATGTATGAATTGTGGAAATGAATGGCATTCCAGAGGAAGAATATACTGTCCAGCATACAAAGTGATATGCAATTTTTGTGGAAAGCAAGGACATTTTGCTAAAGTATGTATTACCCGCAAAAAAGAAACAGAAAAAGAAGAATATTCATCGAGAAAACAAACGCAAAGTACAAGTAAACAGACTCAAAAACAAGTCAACTTCAATGACCAAAACACAGATGGGAATAGTGAAAGTTCTGATGAATTTTCATTTCATCTACAAGTAAACAACATGAAAAATCTACCAATAGCAACAGTTAATTTGAATGGAAAGATGATATCATTCATCATTGATACTGGAACATCCGTCAATTTGATAAGTTCAGAAACGTACAGTATTTTTCCCGACCAACAGCTGAGTGATGGTAATAGTAGCATCTTTCCATACTGTTCCAATAAGAAACTTGATCTGCAGGGAAAGTTCGTTGGAAAATTTAGCAATGAACATTGCGAAGTTGAAGCTGAAGTTTTTGTAGTGAAAGGTAGCTGTGAATCACTCTTGAGCTATGAAACATCATTGAAGCTGAACCTTATCAAAATAGCATTCAATATGAACACGAACATCAGTCTGAGTTATGTCGAAGAAAAGTATCCCAACATCTGCAGAGGCGTAGGAAAATTGAAAGGTTTAGAAATCAAACTGCATATTGATGAAGCCATTGCACCTATAGCACAAAAACATCGTCGAATACCATTTCATCTGCGTGAGAAAGTTGAACAAGAAATAAGGCGTTTGGAAATTGATGATATTATTGAACCAGCAGAAGGTCCAACACCTTGGGTTTCACCTTTAGTAATTGTGCCTAAACCTAAAAATCCTGAGGCGATTCGTATGTGTGTGGATATGCGTGCACCAAACAAAGCGATACTTCGAGAGCGACATATAACCCCAACAGTAGATGACATCATTCAACAAGTTAATGGAGCTGTATTATTCAGCAAAATCGATTTGAAAGATGGATATCATCAATTACCACTAGAGGAGAAATCGAGATATATTACAACATTTTCAACGCACATAGGACTGTTCAGATATAAAAGATTAAGTTTTGGTATAAATGCAGCAGCTGAAATTTTTCAAAACACAATACGACAACTTCTCATCAATATACCAGGTGTTGTCAACATAAGTGATGATATATTGATATATGGAACAACAGTAGCTGATCACAACAGGTCACTGGTAAAAGTTTTATCGAAGTTGAATGAATCAGGCCTAACTATAAACAAAGCTAAATGTATTTTCAACGAAAAATCCATCACATATTTTGGTTACGTTTTTTCACATCAAGGAATACATCCAGATCCACTCAAAGTTAGAAGTTTTGTCAATTTGCAGCCACCTGAGAACCAGAGTGAAGTTCGTAGCTTGCTAGGGATGTTGAACTACGTTGGAAAGTTTCTACCAAATCTTGCAGAAAATACCAAATTATTGAGAGATTTAACACTGAAGAATTCAACCTGGGAATGGACACGGAAACACGATGAAGTTTTCAACTTCTTGAAGCAGCAACTCAACGATGCAACAAAATTGGCTTATTTTGATATCAACAAACCCACACATTTGTATGTAGATGCAGGACCATATGGACTAGGTACCATATTATCCCAAGAATTCGATGGAACGACAAACATTGTCGCCTATGCCAGTAGAAGTCTTTCGGATACTGAGCAGCGATATAGTCAAATCGAAAAAGAGACGTTGGCTGTTTCTTGGGCAATTCAACATTTCCATATTTATCTTTATGGAGCACGGTTCACTCTACATACAGATCATCTACCATTAGTAAAAATTATACAGAATACTAGATCAGCTCCTAGTGCCAGGATAGAGAGGTTACTACTCAGAATACAACCATATAGTTTTGTTGTAACACATCAAAAAGGAGAAACAAATCCTTCTGACTATTTGTCACGATACCCAAGGAATAAAGAAGAACCTCCTGTAGATAAAAACATTGAGAGATACGTCAATTTCATCATCAACAATAGCATTCCTAAGAAAATGACGGTGGAGGAAGTACAGAACCAAAGCCGAATCGACAACGTTCTGTCCATGTTGATAGATGTCTTGAAAAATGATGATTACAAAATTTGGAATCAACCAAGCCTTGTCCCTTTTAGGAAATTGAAAGATGAACTCACTGTAGTTGATGACATCGTTCTAAGGGGTAACAGAATTGTTTTACCAGATAAACTGCAACACAAAGCAATTGAACTTGCTCATAGAGGACACCTAGGATTAGTCAAAACCAAGCAATTGTTGAGAACGAAAGTCTGGTTTCCTAATATTGACAGAATAGTTGAAACTTTCATCAACAAATGTATACCTTGCCAAGCAGTGGTACCACAAAAGAAACGTGATCCGATAATATCTACAGCTTTACCAAATTACCCTTTTGAAGCAGTAGATGTGGATTATGCAGGCCCGTTTCCGAACAAAAAGTACGTTTTCATCTTAGTGGATGAATACTCAAGATATCCCATTGCTGAAGTGGTACCTTCTACTTGTTTTTCACATCTCAAACCAATTTTAGAACGAATTTTTTCATCTTTTGGAATTCCGCAGTCCCTGAAGTCTGATAATGGTCCACCATTCAATGGACGAGAGATTCAAGAATTTTTATCGATCTACAATGTGAATCACAAACGAATCACCCCGTATTGGCCGGAAGCAAATGGATTAGCCGAAAGATTCGTTAAAACTTTCAAAAAATCGCTAAAATGTGCACAACTCGAATCTAACAAGTTTGATTCTCAAATTCATCAATTTCTTCTGAATTACAGAAGTACACCTCATTCGACTCTAGGTAAATCACCGTTTGAGATAGTTTTCAAAAGGAACATCAACAATTTTTTGCCAATGATGCCCAAAACAAATGAGGATGGTTTTGTTACTATGCAAGATAGAAAGAATAAACTGGACCAAAAGAAATATGCTGACAATAGACGACATGCAACCAAGCACCAATTCAAAGTTGGCGATCAAGTTTTGTGCAAACAATTGAAGCAACATTCGCTTTCACCTGTTTTTGATCCAAACTATTATAAAGTTATTAAAGTTAGCGGTACCAAGATCACCGCGAAAAGAGGAGAGAAGATAATTGAGAGAAATGCCTCTTTCTTCAAGATTTTCAAAGCAAGTCCAGGTTCAGAATCATTAGTGCCTACTGTACCCCTCACTCCCTGTTTGTCTCGTCATCCATGCCAAGGAAAAATTCGGTTCAGATGCTTGTTCCCTGATAATCAGATGATGACAGAAGCTGGCAATGGAATAGAAGTTGGAAGACAGCAGCATGATGAAGTTATAGAACGTGAAAATAATGTTCACGCATCTGATGATAATGGTATATATCCACGAGTTGACCGTCCAGCCAGGCAGGCTAGAAAACCATCATATCTTGATGACTTTATATGTAATTAATAGTTAAAAAATAACGATGTAGTGTGATGTATTTGATTCATTCATGAAAAGTCTTTGATACTACTGATGTTGGTATGTTCATTATTTGAAAGAGAGGAGAAAATGTAGTGTTTATAGTTAGCTAATGATAAAATAAATGACGAGGTTTTGTTAGATAGTTATGGTGATAGATAAATAAAGGAGATTGACAAACAAGTTTAATATTATTATCAAAATAATATTGGGATAAAAGACTAACAAACATAACAGAACATTATAGTTACTACTAATGAATGTCACAAAACTATTCATGTGATACATACAAAATGAGTTCGAATACAACATTTGGTTGAATTGAAACAATAAGAGAAATAATTCAGAGCTGAAGAAAGGGATTTTTTGTTCAATTTGTGTGTATTGTAAAAATGTTTCAGTAGTGAACTGTCAGTTATATTCACAATACTTTCTTTGGTTATCTTCATTTCTTGTGAAGTTCCTGTACAAATTCTTGTGAATTCTGAAAGAGCAACTCGAATAAGAATATAAACCCTTTATCGACATCACTATATGCAAGTTTATCTAAAAAAGATAGAAGTGGTCCAAATTCAAGATATAGCTTATATGTCCTATCTATTTCTCGAATATCCGTCGCCCACTCTATTCATTCGGAAAAAAACTCACTCACTCTGTGTACCTTAACTCACCTGACATTAGTTACTTCATCGACAGCACACAAACTCAACGTGCCGAATTTCAAGCAAAAATTGAACTGGCCGAAGACGACATCGCGCTTGAAAATCGTGTTGTACTCTGCAGAGTCCGCCAGTACTTGCAATATCTCCCCTTCCAACTGGGACGCTTCCGTGGAGGAAGTATCGGTAACTTCTACTGAAGAAGAGGAAGAAGAATACCAACCCATCCAGTTCGGAAACCAATTCACCAGCATGCTCTGACCGGTCGATCTGCTACTGGTCGAATTCGGAGTTGGCAACGTGACTGAGGCCATCGCTACCTGAAATTAGGATTGATGGTTCAAAAAAGATATACACTGTGCCCGTCAAAGTCGAACCACCAGGTATATCGCAACGAAATTTGCAAGGCTCAAATTGGAGATGAAAACCATCTCTTTTCATGAGGAAACGACAGCATGAAGTTTGAAAATGGCGGCTGAATAATTTTTTAATGGTACACCCATATATCATTCTATTTTCGGAAGCTCCTCATAATTATTACCAGTTTCATCCTATACACCCTACCCCTAAATTCAATAGTTTTCGAGATATTAACGTTTCCACTACAAAATATTATTATTGAACTTAAAATTTTACGATATTTCTGAACCGATTTGACTAAAAAACGGCGAAACGCATCGAAAACTCTCAAGTGAGACCTGTTTTTCAAATTATGATATACAAATTGAGAAAGAAATGCACATATAAAAATTGGGGTGATTTTTCCATCACCACCCCCAGATTCAGCCGCCACTGAATTACTTTATGAAATAATTTTTATTTCATCTTATGAAGCGTAAAAAGTTTAGTCTCTGTGAAAAATTTTGTTGATTTATCCGTTTCGAAATTCTCATCAAGAAACAATATTCAAACTCGTATACAGGGTGTTTCAAAAAAACCTAACCCCCTTGCTAGAGTAGGTAGAACAAAATAAGTTGGGTTTGCTCAGTAAAACAATGTCGTAACGCCATCCGTTTTCAAGATACAAGGTGTTGAAACAATATTTTTTTTACACATTTTTTACGATCATGTTGAAACTACTGGCAAAATTGTGACGAAATTGTGTATCGATGTTTCTTGGAATCTGACACATTGCATGAATTCGTTTTTATATCTGACTCTCATAGAGGGCGCTAGTTACACGGTTCGTACCGAGTAGTTTTGAACATAATTTTTCTGAGGTTAGATTTATCAATCCAAATTTGATGTGAACTTGAACATCGTTCAATTTCACACCAAAAAGGTACTCTTGGTAAAACTCGATACTGTGTTCTGTTTCCGGAACATTTCGATTTGAAAATGATGAAGTGGTAACTGTTGCTGGTATTAAGCTATGTATTAGATTGGGTATTATGAAAATTATCACCTATTTATTGAAAACCAAAAAGAACAATACATTTCTGATGCGAAACTCATTGATTCAACAATGAATCACAAGAATAACATCGAGACATTTGATCTTGAGCAGAAAGTCTATGCTACATAGGTAAATTCACGTCAAGAGTTGTGAGACATAATTGAACATCACTTAAATGACCTAACAGCTGATCCTCAACTGTTTAGAAGAATAATTCATTCTTAAAAGAAGGATATAGAATCGTGTATTCCTCGAAACGTAGGACATTTTGAACACTTACTCTAACTGATTCAATATTTCATGTTTCTAGTCGAATTATCTACTTATGATTCTACTTATGATTCTTTGTTCCATCAATAACTTCAGCACAAGAATGATTTTATTGTTTTTGAATCTGAATAAATAGGTAATTGAACTCAATAAAATTCATTTTATACCAGCATTATTACTAACTCCATTATTTTGAAATCGAAATATTCCGAAAACGGAACATAGTATCGAGTTTCACCAAGAGTACCTTTTTGGTGTAGAATCGAATGATGTTCAAGTTCATATCATACATATTTGGATAGAGAATCTAACCTCAAAAAAGTTATGTTCAAAACTACGTACGAACCGTGTAACTAGGGCCCTCTATGAGAGTCAGATATAAAAACAAATTCATGCGATGTGTCAGATTTCAAGAAACATCCATGCAAAATTTCATTACAATGTTGCCAGTAGTTTTGGAATAATCGTGGAAAATGTGTAAACAAATATTTTTTTTAAAACCTTTCATCATGAAAACGGATGCCGTTACATTTTTTCACTGAACAAACCCAACTCATTTTGCAATGTTTTACCTACCCTAGCAAGGGGGTTAGGTTTTTTTTAAACACCCTGTATATATCGAAAACGACGCGTTTAAAAGTATATGTTTATATGAACTTTTTTTTATTATTTCAACGAGTTCAACACCGTTGAAGTTTTTGAATTACAAACCAGACCACCCTGTTTATCTTTTCCCACCGTAAAATATCATTATCATCATTAGTCATAGATGAATCATTTGTTCGTTTATCAGCATTATTCAACTTATTAGTCATTCATTCGGAACCAGGTGGTGAATCAAGACAGTCTTATATTAAATGTCATCACGAACGGGTCGGATTTTGTGATCGGCATTCAAAAATACGCGAAAGGTATTAGGTTTAGTGTCTACTAAAATGTGAGCGATAGTACTGTGTTCCTGTGTTTCTCATTCAAATCTGTGATTACATTATCGCGATCGTGTGTTGTTTTGGTGTGGAAATTCGAAAATACGAAACAATGAAATAGCAGAAGTGGAATATTTTGTACAAAATCATTGTTTCATCAGAGCTTCGATTTTTTCATGCTGGTGAGTGTTTTTTTATTACTTTGCCCGATAGTATAATCTCATAGGTATTTTGATATACAAGGGAAAAAAGTAGTAGATTTTAGCTCCAGGTTGTGTTGTATCCCGACGCGTAGCGGATGGAAACAGAAACCGTGAACTAAAATCTAATATTTTTCCCGTGTATAATACACTATTTTTTTCTGTGACAGAAGATAGGGCGAATCAATATTGAGAAGATATTACATTTTTTTGAAATCTGAAAATTGTCGAGTTTTTAACGGTAGGGACACCTGCGTTGTAGGCATATCACATATCAAAAGTACTCACTTTTTTCCCACGGGAAAAAAGTAATTCATGAAAAGTGACATTTTATAACCTGCCAACAGAGACGAAATGCCAAACTTTTTTCCCGTCACAGAAAAAAATATATTTTTGAATACATAGTGTAGTATATTCACGAAAGCTATTCGAATACCTGTTAGAAATAAGTCATGGTTGGAAAATAGATTCTCTTAGAAAATACACAAAGAAATCAGACAATTCGTTGCAAACAAATCGGTTCAATTTTTCCATCCAATGTGTAGATAGTATTTTCGAATATACAGGGTGTATCTAAATAAAACCGAAAAAATTCAAGGGGTGATTCCTTGTGATATTTTAGGAAATAAAGTTGATATGAACATCTGTCCTAACTTGCTTCGTTTTCGTGATACAGGGTATTAATATTTCCATGAAAGATCGTTTTTTTATTCATTTCTCAATTGTCTTTTCATCAATTTCAATAAAACGTTGTGGTTTGGTTAATAGTAATATGGAGCTTCTTCGGGTGCAATTAGATTCGAAATAATATTTTCAGTGCCGTCACAGTGGGTAAATTTATCGATATTTATGATGATGTCATTGTACGCTACCGGTTTTTCTTAGTTTCATATTTTTATTAGATTGAACTATTTAAAGAACATATTTTTTATCCCCTGTGTGACTTTTGTATCTAGCTTAGTTTTTGAGGAATCAATAAAAAGTCGAATTGACTCCAAATTTGATATAGGTGTTTTCAAGACTTGAGATTACTCAATATCATCAATTACAATTATTTTGAAATTTTGGGGCTTTCTGAGTCTCCAACCATACTGGATTTGGGCACCATGAAAGCTTATTAAATGATATCAAACGGGATATTACAAGTGATTTGGAAAACATATCATCTTGGATGCAAATTCATAAGTTGACTCTTAATTATAACAAATCTTCATATATGCATATTTCCAAAAGATCAGTTAATATTTCGAATAATGCTATAACTTTCAACAATAGATTAATTAAATATACAGACGTGACAAAATTTTTAGGTCTCTATATCGACGAAAAATTATTATGGACTAAACATCTAGACTATTTGAGAAATAAAATAAATCCGATCATAGGTATTTTATTCAAAATCCGAAATATTATTCCCATAAAATACTTCAAATGTATTTACTTTTGCCTCATTTATTCAAATTTGCAATATTTAATTTCTATTTGGGGGAGTACAAATATTTCGCGTCTGAAACCACTAATGAAATTACAAAACAAATCAATTAAGTGCATTTTTCATCTACATTTTCTAGAACCAACGATACATTTATACAAACCAAGACATTTTCTGAACCTGATTTCCTTATATAAACTTAAAATATGTTGCTTTATTCATTTTGCCAGGAATAAATTGAAAATATCAAATTTAGCTTTCAATGAAGTCAATACAGTCCATAATTATGGGACTAGACAATTGAATTACTTGATAGCAAATACATTCAAGTCAAACATTGGCAAACAATCTATTTTTCACAATGGAATAATTGTATACAATTCATTACCGAATGAGTTGAAAAATATACATGATGCGAGAAGGTTTAAAATAAATCTTAAAAAATACTTGCTCAGGACAATTTGAATGAAAAATATGTGGCATGATTTGATTACTTAGGAATGAAATATAACTTTAATCTTATAAGACACAATATTAATTCGTTTCCACTGAGTGGAATTCATTATAGTTAACCCTTTATTATTATTTTTTATATGTATTTATGTATCCCTATCATGAACAGAAATGTTTCTTGGGGTAATAAAGACAATCAATCAATCAATCAATTATACAGGGGGGTTAGAAATAAAAACAGTTACTACAACTTCGACATCCTGTATTTCAAAAACAGAGCAAGTTAGGACACATGTTTATATGAACTTCATTTGCTAGAATATCACAAGGAATCACCCCTTGAATATTTTCGGCGTTATTTAGATACACCCTGTAGAAATAGATTTTTATTCGCGATAGAAAATAACACGTCGCCCCATCTGACGTCAGCAACTTAGTTTTTAGTTTTAGCTTTAGTTAATTCCATTCTCTTCACCTACCTCCCTAACTGATACATTTTATTAGACACAGTCTGTTTGTAATCAGTATAAATAAATAAATAAATAAATAAATAAAATAAAACTTGAACACTTCTGACCGGTAAACATGCAGCTTTGTCAGCTTTCAAGAACTCCGATAGGTGACGTACGCATATTTGTGGAAA